TTTTCTTTATTAAAATTCTAAACTAAGATCGAAGTCGAAGTAGAAATTAGAACTTCGTATAAAGAATAACGATACTCTAGAAGTTAGAATTATATAAAATATTAAGATCTTATAAAAGCCTCTAATAGCTACTTTAATAAATTTATATAAAAGAATTAAGACTAATAATATAAGGGTCTTAAAGTTTTAATAGCTTAATAAGAAGTAAGTAAGAAAATTATCTACTACTTCAATAAGTTTTATTTTATAAAAGATTTATAAAACTATAGCTAGTCGAATCTCGATTCTTTATTTAGAAGTTTCTAGATTTCAGCGTTAATATATTATACTTCTTTCGCGAGATTATAGACTATATATAGAGATCTATTAGAAGATACTATACCTCTTATTACTTTCTTTTAAATCTCTTAATTATTTAATTCTCTAATAAAGATATAGAGAATAATATTAAGTATAATAGATTTAAGAAGATTAAAGATAGTACTAAGAGTAGTAGCGGGCTTATTCTTAATTTTAACTCTCTATATTAAGTTAATAATACGCTTAAAGTAAAAAGTAAGAGATTCTTTAAGACGTTAATATAGATTTATAATCTCGATATCGAATAGAATCGCACTTACTTTTATAGCTTTTAAGAGAAACTTCTTATAGAATATAGCTCGAAACTACTAGATTATTTATTAAGAATTAAAATATTTTACTTCGATAAGAAGTTAAATAGCTTCTAAATAACTTTCTAATTACTCGAAAGCATTATCGATAAAAAGTATATTAAGATATTTTAAATACTTAACTAAGAGAAAATAATCTTCTTTATCTTAATAATCCTCTATATTAAAATCGAACTTTCGAAGTTACTTTAATATTAATATACTAGTAATTCTTAAGAAGTTATTATATATAGTAAACGTAGAGCGAGATATAATTACTTTTATAATATTATTAAACTATATAGAAGCTTTAAATTAATCTAAAAAAGGCGTACTTTAATAAGATTCTAACGACGAGACTATAAAATTCATAAGACTATTATTAAGAGGAATTCTTAAGAAGTCTAAGATGTTAAGACGATAGTAATAAGCTAATTCTTCGAGGAGATTTCTAATACTCGCTAAAATGATAGTGCTATAATTTACTTACTTTCGTAATAATAAGAGAGTTCTAGTAAATAACGACGATGGCTAGGAAATCGAATTAAGTAATAGCAACTTTTTAAGATATTTATTAAAGGCTTTTTAAGTCTTAAGAAGAGGTTTAATAGATAAAAGAGGCTTTCTAGATTAAATAACTTAAGAAAGTACTTTTATAGTAAGGTTTTTAGTAAGGGATTCAGTGGAAAAACGAATAATAATAGATTATAGCTGGATAGATTAAATAATAATTCTAAAGACACGCAAGAATAATAATAAAGGAGATCTTATTTTAAGGCCACAAAAAGATCCGGGCAGGACCTTCAAAGAATAAGAATGACCAGGCTCGTGTGGGTAGAAGAGGATGTAGATTCTATGGAGGAAGGATCCGAAGGATTCCCTAAGGATCCAGCCAGACAAGCTATACTACATTTGGCTAGCTAGAAAGACCCCGCAGGAAGCACCTTCCGACTTATACTTGGGAAGGTGGAAGTGAATCATGTCTTTTCGAGGAAGAGCCTGGGGCCAGAGGCCTATTTTGTTCCACGAGACCGCTTCTATGTCTTCGACATGGACGTGTCTTCTCTGCCAGCAGACGCGACCCTCTCTGCGGTTTTCGACCTCCGCAAGAGCAAGACAGGAGCAGCATCAGAATAAGGGTCCTTTCAGGACAAGATTACGTACGGCCTTTGGAGACACCAAGGTCCAATGGAAGTACAGGATTCCTGTTGGACTTGGTATCGGCTTTCTTGGAGCTGTACAATTCTACAGAGTGCAGGAGCGGGAAAAGAAAAGACACCAGGCAGAGCAGGATGCGCTGGAATCGACTAAAGATAGCAAGGGCAGGCCCAGAAAGAGAAAACGCATACGGCCAAGCGGCCCCTGGTAGAAGGGAAAAAGTGCGCAACTCGAAGAGCTCTCAAGCTGACAAGTTCTAAGGCAGGTACAGGTTATGTCAACTCTCCCGTTGAAGGCGGTCTCAAGATTGTGGGGGCGCTTCAATGAGCTTGAAATACCCTACTATTTGCGGGTACCCGGTTTCAGGCTATATTCTTGGATCTTTGGGGTCAAGTGAGTGCCGAAAGTACCAGTGCAGACACTCACGCTGATTGGATACTCAGTTTGTCTGAGGCTGCCGAGTCTGATCTCCACCAGTACAAGAACCTCGCTTCCTTCTTCTACCGCACTCTGAAGCCTGGAGTACGCCCAATAGATACTAGTGCGTCCGCCCTGCTGTCTCCCGCCGACGGCAGAGTCCTGCAGTACGGTATGATTGAGAACGGAGAAGTAGAGCAGGTCAAGGGCATGACGTATAGCCTTGATGCCCTCCTGGGCACAGAATTTCCAGAGAGATCAAAAGCAGAGGAAGAGAGTCCAAAGCCAAAGGAATCATCGGTCACGCCTGGAGATGAGGACATCGTCAAGGCTGACGAGGAATTTGCCACCGTGAATGGCATCTCGTATACGTTACCAAATCTCTTTTCAGGATCCAAGCTTCAAGAAGGTTCCAGGGCCATCGACATGTCGACGACACCGCGTTCCTCGTCAGAGAGTGAGGTTGGTGCCGACCTTGCTTTGGGCGACGGCAGTAGCCAATCGTGGTTCTCTTCAACCTCGAGGACGCCAACAGCTCTATACTATATTGTGGTGTATCTAGCACCAGGAGACTATCATCGCTTTCATTCTCCCGCGTCGTGGGTTGCCGAAAAGCGCCGCCATTTTGCAGGAGAGCTCTACAGTGTCTCGCCATATCTACAGAGAACATTGCCCGGACTATTCACTCTCAATGAAAGGGTGGTGTTGTTGGGTCGTTGGCGATGGGGGTTTTTCAGCTTCACACCCGTTGGAGCAACCAATGTTGGATCAATCAAGATCAACTTCGACCGTGAACTACGCACAAACAGCCTGACCACTGACACAGCTGCAGATAGAGCGGCTGAAGAAGCATCCAATCGTGGAGAGCTTTACTCAGGGTTTGCGGAAGCTACTTATGGAGAGGCAAGCAGAATATTAGGGGGTCATGCACTGCGAAAAGGAGAAGAGATGGGAGGTTTCCAATTAGGGAGCTCCATCGTTTTGGTCTTCGAAGCACCCAAAGGGCGTCGTAAAAGCTTCGACGACGGGTGGGCTGAGGGATCAAGAAAGGGTGGTTGGCAATGGGGTGTCCAACAGGGACAGCAAGTAAAGTACGGTGAGACAATCGGTTGGGTCGAAGAGACATGATGGGTACTTGCCACGACAACCAAATCAAGTCTTTGTGCAGTTCGGTTATGGGCAACAAATCCCAAGCTCAATTCTACTTTTCTTTCCCGCTTTAATTATGCGAAATTCCTCCATTATACCTGGTTGATGCACAGTGTCAAGCGTGGATGTTGGCTACTCGGTCGACATTCAAAAGGCGTTCTTGTCCCTTCCTTCGGAAAAATATAGCAATTCTTGACCGTCAATTTCTTGGAGATAGCCACGTTCGTAAGGGCTCGCACATTCCTTTGTTGTAACGTTGTACTTGGATATTGAGCCTTGTCTCTTCAGCATCAGAAAGTAGCCAAATGGAGCTATTTAGGCTCTGCTTGGAGTCGTGACTAGAGGTATGATGCATATGCGTCTCACAAGCTGCATCATTGCTAAGGTTGAAAACAACGCCTATCGATAATTATAATCATGCACAGGCCTTTAAGATGTACATTCAGCTTTCCTGCAAACCCCAGACGAAGCCTCCACGTCTAATCCTTCAATGTTCTCATTTACACCGGATTAACAGCTTCCAAAATCTTCACTTCTCTTGCTTCTACCAAACAATGAAGACTGACGTTGCAGTCGATGATCAATGCTCCTTCCGCTAACGGTCATGAAATGGTAGAATCGCCCATCTGCAGCGGTACTTCAGCCGATTCTCCACTTGTCGCTCTTTTCAATGCTGACCTTCAAGCAGCGGCTCTTGGAAGCGGTGCTCTGCTCTGCCCGCTGATTAGAGGACTGGTAGAATGACTATGTGTTAGGAGAATGCCGCATATCATTGCAACGGGAGAAATCTACGGGGAGCTGGAGCGCACCTTGACGACCTGCTCCGGCTACACTCCATACGGCAGCGGCTCAGCAGGTGCTTCGTAACCTCACATTTACAGTAGATGGAAGAAGCTTTTCAAAACTTTCAAGATGAGTTCTTCGCGGCATGAGAACTAGTGTCGGATAAGGTTTAGGAACTGCGCCTAAGGTATGTATAGGCTCCTTTAGCGCGGCTCCTTGCATCGTGCATGAAAGAGCTATGCGTCTCATAACAGTAGATTCGATAAAGTTGACTCTAGAGCTGCTCTACTTGGGCGTTGTAGTGGTAGTGGTAGTGGTGGTGACTTGGCCCAAACGGAACAGGTAGCCCCTCCGAGAGGTAGATGATGGAGGACTATTCTCGCAAGCACAGCAGAGCATTAATCCTTCTCGGCTTCTCCTACTCCGAGCGAATCACGTCAGAGCGATTACAATTCCCGAGCGATTTACGAGAAATCATTCCCTCTACCGTATTCCGAGTCAGAATGTAAGGTAGTAATGAATCCCTGAACACTGTAAATTAACACTAGCGCAGTAACTGGAAGACTATTTAAACCCCCTCCCTCCCTTCAAAAACATCTTCTTTCCCCACCCCCTACATCTACATTTACTAAAGGTCAAGCCTGCTTTGATATCTGCTTTCAATCAGTCATCATTGATTTGCTACAACTAATTATCCTTTGTTCAAACATTACTACATCAGCTGATCCGCATCCATCCTCATCATAGTCTTTGGAGTAAATGCACGACAATCCGGACATCTAGTCCGCCTTGCTCAACGTAACCACTACGAGCACTACATTCCGAGAACAAGGGAGCGTCGGTATGTCCGGGCGTGGTCCACGCGGTCCACGAGGCGCCGGGCGTGGGGACCAATCACGTGGTCGTGGTGACGGGGGCTTAAATCCTTATGGAAGAGGCCGTGGTGATGGTGCAAATCCCCAAGACTTTGGCCGTGGAGGACGTGGTGACGGTCGTGGAGGGCGCGGTGATGGTCGTGGTGGGCGCGGTGACGGTCGTGGAGGAGCATCGTTTAGGAGGTTAGGCGACGATGAGCACACTCCAGGCTCCAAAATCTTCAGGTTTGTCCTGTGTTCTTGTTAGGTACCTTCCTCACTGACGTTCGTCATACTTCAGTCCCCCAGGAGAAAACATTACACCGGAAGCGGAGGTTGAGACCAAGGAAAATCAAATTGTCAAAGAGAACCAAGGTCTATCTTTGAGCACGCTCTCGCTGGCAGACTTCCAGCTACCCCTCCGACCGGGGTACGGAGTCGCGGGCACTGTCATCCATCTACGAACCAATTACTTCAACATGACGATCAATGCTGGGAAGAAGCTGTTCAAGTACACCCTTACGCTGACGGCCAAGCACAAAGAGCCCAAGAAGGACAAAAAGACAGGGAAAGTTAAAGCACCCCTAGTGCCACCAGAGCGTTCTAGGAAACGTCGGCAAGCTTTTGCGCTTCTCTTCCAGCATCAGGATTTCCGAAGCATAGGTCACGGGGTGGCCACAGACTATGGCTCAATCGTCATCACATCCAAGGAGCTTCCTCTCGATCGCGATGGGACCAAGGAGTACGTCATTGTTTACCAAGAGCTAGAAGATCGGGAGCCTGCATCAAATCAATCCTTTACACCTTCAAATTTTCATATGGAGGACTAGTTCCAACGACAGAACTTCTTCGATACTTGGCTTCGACCCCTACTGACCCCAGCGACTTCACAGGAAAGGAGGATGCAGTCCAAGCCTTGAACATCATTGTTGCTCGTACGCCCAACCTCAATACAGGAGTCTTCCAAAGTGGTAAAAATAAATTCTTCCACTACCCTACCGACCCCGAAACATACGACAAGCTCGGGGGCGGTCTCATTGCTGTCCGTGGCTACTACTCGAGTGTACGCACGTCTACCCTACGGACCCTACTCAATGTCAATGCTCAGACTTCGCCCTTCTACCCGGCGATTAATGTGCTAGATCTCATAACACAGCATGGACGTGGTGATTGGCTAACCGTGGAATACTTTCTCCATTTGCTCCGCGTTAAGACGAAGTACATGAAGCACAAGGATGGTACCGATGCAGTCAAAATCAAGACCATCATAGGCTTCTCGCAGCAACTGGATGATGTCCTTGACAACAAGGGCAAAGTCGTGACTGATGACAAAGGGAACGTTAAAAAGCGTAGGAATCTACAGGATAATCCATTGAACGCACAACAGGTGACGTTTCAGTGTGAGGAATTTGACGGCAAGATCTTAACAGTTGAGAAATACTTCAAAGAGAAGTACAATATCACGCTCAATACACCACAAGCCTGGCTGCTTAATTGCGGCACAAGAGATAAGCCCGTCTGGATCCCGCCGGAGCTGTGTGAAGTAATGCCTGGTCAAGCATTCAGAGGCAAACTGAGTGACCATCAGACATCACAGATGATTCTGGTCGCCGCGAGAGGCCCTGCTGAGAACGCCCGTCGAATAGCGAACGGCGCTCATAGGGTTATTGGATTTCGAGGCAACAACCCAAGCTTGGCGGCATTCGGCGTTGGAGTCGACTCCAAGATGATTGTGATCCAAGGGAGAATTCTTGAAGCACCCCCCAGTGACGTATGGCAGAAAATCTCAAATCACCCCCACTGAAGCATCTTGGAATATGAGAGGCAAGCAGTTCGCAAAACCAATCAAGATCACGAAATGGGCGTTCTTAAAATTGGGTGGTGTGCGTCTTGAGAGCAACCACATCGACTCGTTCAAGCGGGCTCTGAAGGATTATGGACTCGGAACCGAAGGTCCGTCCGCTCCTCAACCCTTTGAAGCTCCTCTCCCTGGCTCAGAGGACGCAAACGACGCTTCTATCGAGAAAGTTTTCAAAGCTATGTTCAGCACAGGAATAAAGATGGTTTTGGTGATTTTGCCAAATTCCAGTTCAGTCACCTACGCCCGCGTGAAATTTTGGGGGGACGTCAAAGCTGGGATCCACTCAGTCTGTGTTCTCGCCGAGAATCTCTCCAAAGGCGCACAATATTATGCCAACGTTGCACTCAAATTCAACCTGAAAAATGGCGGTGTCAACCAACTTCTTCCAAACCAACTAGGGTTTCTGAACAACGGGAACACGATGGTCGTCGGTATTGATGTGACTCACCCGGCACCCAAGAGTATGGAGGGATCGCCAAGTATTGCGGCGGTGGTGGCAAGCATTGACAACGAATACGGTCAATGGCCTGGTAGCATCCGCTGCCAAGATTCTAAGAAGGAAATGGTATCGACATTGAAATTCATGATGCAAGAACGCCTCAAACTCTGGATAAAAACCAACAACCGAGGGCCAGAAAAGATATTAATCTACCGTGATGGTGTCTCTGAGGGTCAGTACAAGACTGTGCTTGAGGATGAGTTGGAGCAGATTCGGGAAGCTTGCAAGGAGATCTATGGGCCGAGGCCTCAGCCAAAGATCACCATTGTAATTGTCGGCAAGAGGCACCATACTCGATTCTACCCTACGGATGCTAGGACCGCTGACAATAAAGGCAATCCCGTGAATGGAACGGTGGTCGACCGGGGAGTTACCATGGAAAAAGGCTGTGAGTACTTTCACTTTCCTCCCTGTTTCGAGCAAGATCATGAGTCCCAGACATGTCGCGGGAATTAGACATGCCTTTGGTTTGTGTTATGGTCCTGACTTAGTCCTTGCAAACCAATTGAATGTGACAACGGAGGGGTTTGCTGACTCTACGATAGTCGACTTTTTCCTCCAGGCACACGCTGCCCTCCAAGGCACGGCGAAACCTTCGCACTACGTCGTGATTCTTGATGAGATGAAGCTTGGTGCTGAAGAGCTTCAGACCATCACTCATCATCTGTAAGCTTTTCCTCCTGCCCCTTTTCCCTTTCCATCTCAGAGAGGCACGCCTGACCTGTGAAAGCTGCTATGGTTTTGGAAGGGCCACAAAAGCCGTGTCGATATGCCCACCTGCTTACTACGCCGACATTCTTTGCGAGCGCGGCCGATGCTATCTTGCAAAATACGTCAACGGACGTTGGCCTCCAGGCAAAGAATTTGACTGGAACGAAGCGCCTTGGACTGGAGGTGTCCACAAGGAGTGAGTCTCATTTGCACGGCTCCATTCTTGTCGATCCTAGCTGATCAGCTTTTAGATTAATCGATTCGATGTTCTACATCTGAATGGGTGTTTCACGTCGGCTACAGCGCCGCTACAAAGATGAACGACGAGACAGATTAGGCCATATACAGCTCTGGTGGCTCCTGCATCAGTCACTCGAACTCCCAGTTACGACACCCGGTTCTTGCAGTGCTTGCATTTGCACCTAATCCATGGTTTCGAAATATTTGAGGCGGCCCCGATTGAATGATGGAGACCATGGACTTACTTTCTTTTTCTTTGTGGCGATTTGGTTTCTTGCGTTTGAGCATGACATTCAAATGCGGATGATACGACGGTTTCATGCCTTTGACGAAATGATGATTTACGATCGATGTTGATGGGTCCCTTGCATGATGGCAGAGAGGGTCCTGCTGCCGATCTGGAAGACTGCAATTAGAAGCATCCAAGCGAGTCTGTTATCGAGCATTATTGAGATAGCAATGAAAGTATTCATACCGAATCGTTGTCCCCACGATGGCACGTAGAGTGAATCCGCAAGAGTGTCGGTGCTGCACACAACAAAGACAAGAAAAGCGTATTCCAGCAATGTCCAAAGCATGCCACCGCTCCCTACGAATGCTTTTCGTATATCGAACGCAATTGACATCGCCATAGGAAGGCTGACAAGACTTCAAAATCCGTTCTTTTCCATCAGGAACCATGGTATGAGACACAGGCAAGCCAATGCACCCCTAGGCGGAGTATCTGACCACAAATGCGCTCATGTGACGCCAGAAGCAATGCCAAAATCTCGGTACTTCCTGGATCTCTCACTGACATCTACGCGGAAGAGTCCTGACCACATTTCACGTCTTTTCATCCTCACTTTCAGTATCAGTGTCCGTTTCGCTCGTGTCCTCGGCTTCGCCCTCAGTGTCACTTTCCTCGTCACTCGATTCAGCGGTAGCTGTGTGTTTCTTTGGTCGTTTCGGCGGTGCAGCAAGGCCGGAGACGCCGCCGGTCTTGAGGGCATTCATTTGACCTGCTAGTGAATCTATGAATTTTTTACATTAGTTTGTGTCTCGATGCCGGCGGGAGATGGAAATGCGTACCCTCTTCAGGCTCACTGATCTCATCCTCTTCATTGTCCATTGCGACAGCCTTTGCGCTGTCTTCCACTTCGAGCACGACCTCTCTCTTGCTGTCCATCCCGATATAGCTATCACAGACCAAATGCATCACGAACGGATACTTCCCCGCATGCGGCGGGGCTTGAAATTGCATCTTGAAAGTCTGCATGTTGAATGTTGGATTGCCTTGGTCATCGAGCAAGGCTTTATTGAAGGTGGTCATTGTGAAGGGTGGCACGGCGACCTTGCCCATCTTGCTGTCTGCGAGAAAGACGTGCCAGCGTGGCGAGTGATCACGAGGGAAGTAAGGTGCATATGCCAGCGGCGGTTGCAGTGGCTTTTCTACGTCCGATGACGGAGCTGCATCACCCTCACGCAGTCTCGCCTTCCTACCCTTCCCAGATGGTTTGCGACCAAGAAGCGCATCGAGATCATCCTCGTCTGGATCGATATCCTCAAGGTCTAGTTCGTTCACTTCAGGAACGTTGGCTATGCCGGGAGGGATCACGCGAGCTTTGACGACGAATTGGACGAGCGAGCCGGTGGTGACGAATCGTTCACCCATGACTTTAAAGAATACCTTTTCAACATTGAGTCGAGGAAATTGGCGAGCCACAGCAACAGCATCATTGTATTGAGCCGGCGTCAGAACCCCAGGTTGGTCAGTAGCAAGCTTGCGCCGCTTGTATTCTGGCAATGACATGAATTGTTGGACGGTCAAATGCTCTCTTGACAACCGTACTTCGATCCTTCGGGCGATTTCAGGTGTGACATGTGGGAGCTGGAGGAGGGGCGAGGCGTTTGGAGGAACGGCTTGAATGAGGTGTTGTGATACGCGATAAGTGGAGAGCAGTTGTGGGACGCTGCCGAACGCGAGAGTGATGGCAGTGAAAGCCTCATTCAGTTTTAAAGCGAGAGGTGCAGCTTCGTATTTCTCTGCGAGTTTTTAGTGGTTATGTATTGGGCGAGAGATTTTAGGAACACTGACCATCATCAAGTGACGACCCATCCAGCCTTACCCTTCCGAGATAGGCCCAGACGAGAGCAGAGGCTTTCCTGCGAGCGCCTTCGTAGCCTTGAAGCTTCTCTTGATCTCTAGGCGTGAGTCCTGATACTGAGGGATCAGGACCGTTTTCCCGCGCGATGCTCTTCTCGATCTTGCCCAAGCCTGAGTCCATCTTATTGCCACTTAGAACTTCCTTATACTCCTCGCCGCAACTCAACGCATTGACGACGTCTCCATCTGCGAGATCTTCCCTGTATTCCTTGAACAGATTGCCCGCACTGGCGAGGAGAACGTTCTCTTTAGTCACACGCTGTGTCCCGTACCACCACTTCCCCACGATATACGGCAACAGAACTCCCAGAAGCAAACCGTATACCAGTAGCACGTATTTTCCGTTTCCATCTGTGACGATGAACATTGGTAGAGCGATTCCAATACTGAAGCTTTGTTTTCCATCTGGATGGCCGTACTGTATGTAGTTGTTGCGGATTTCCTCGTCAGTCAGAGCTTTGAAAGCTTTGGACACTTCAACCCAGTAATCGTTGACATCCTCGGCAGTCTGGTTCTTGGACTCGTCAATCACCGCCTTGTCTGGATGGTAAACCCTCGACAGATCTCGATATCGTTTCTTGATCTGTGCCTCGCTTGATGACTAGGGACAATCAGCGTCCAGGTGCTAGCACGGGTTTCTTCCTTCTTACTCTTGAAATATCCAGTATACTATAGGGGTCCCAAATTTTTGGCGCAGTTGTCTTTGTAATCATGATCAGGTACATCATCCACGCCATTGTCAAGTAGCCCATAGCCACTGTTGTAATCCTCTTCAGCCTCCTCTCTCGCCGCCATTGCTTCCTTTTCTGCCCTTGAATAAGAGCGTCATCTGCAGGCTTGAAGTTGGACTTGATTCTAGGGGCAGTTTCCTCTATGTCTAATTCATCATCAGTGTTTTGTTCCATTCCTCGCGGGCGAGTGGATAGCCGGGGCTCTGACCTTTGTCCGGCTTGAGGAGGGAGTATGACAGGGGAAGGGTGACGAGGGCGGAGATGGTGAGAATGAAGTAAGGAAAGAATTGGCCCTGATCCTTTGTCAGCACCTCATTATTTCCAGAGAAGCAGGACCAGGGACCTGCTCGTCGTAGTTGTAATCTGTTGACATGCTGAAGACTTGGGCGCCCTTAGGCGCAAGCTTTGCTGTGCTGATGCCAGGATACTTATGATGAGTGCGGGAGACTCAGGCTCCAAATTAGGGGGGAGAGAGTTGAAGAAGGGACGTAGTCATGCGGTAACAAGGAAGAGTGTGGGCGTGGGTGTGGGTGTGGGTATGAGTGATGGGTGTGGGTGATGGGTAGGGAGACCCAATGGGAAATATGATATCTTGAGGCCACTGAGCCACTTTACTACTGTAGTATCCAGCCCATATTCCGGGCCGACTTTTATACTTTAGACTTCCGGGCTAACCTTCAGCCTCAAGGGAAGGAAGATACCTTACAGTACTGTATATCGTATCAAGTAAAGTATACCTACCTTAAGGTACAGTAGGACTACCCTAGGCGTAAAGCAGAACATGGCCCCCTCGGCAAAAATGTCACGCTCTCCTTTGACTCTCTTTACTGTCAAGTAAATGTACTGTCTTGTTTGATTTGTACGCAACCGCTGCGTGGAGCGTTACAGCTACTCGTCATCTACCCATAGCATACATGAGCACGTTTGCCTTCACAGCATCGTAAGTTGGAAAAAAAGCTTCGAGATACCTTCACCGGTTAAAGCTCTCCGACCTAACTCCGCGATTGTCATCTGCTAGTGCTGCTGCCACTTGCTTGCTTCTCTTTGCACTTGACTTAAGTTTGTAGGTAAGCAAGCAAAAGTAATTAACGTATAATTAATTATATTATTTACTTTGCTACGTCCTTTTTTCATTTACCCCTTTCCACCTTTTCCTCTCTCACCGCAGGTGCCATTAGAACTACCGCGCAAATGGGTATATAAACCCAGGAATCGATTTGTCCAAAAACATTACACTGTGTAAGAAGTATCGACTCCAAGCGATATCGACTGGCCGAGATCATACATCATGTCTTCATCAAGGAGTGTGATAGTCGTGAAAGGAGTGCGAGGCGCATAGAATAACCATCTTTCTGTATCCAAAAACAAGCCATTCGCTGGCCTCTTAGACCAGCGCCATGAACGCAACCAAGCCAGCCAAAGCGGCCACTGCAGGCTTGTTGGTGGGCGCTGCACCCTTGAAAGCGAGCGGTGACGTGGAAGTTGGGGTAGATGTTTGTACGGGGTATTCGGGTTGACCCTCAGTTGCTTCAGTGATAAGCGGAGCGCTTGGTACTGTGGTACTGGCGGGCGTAACTTCCGGCGTACTCTCAAATTCTGGTGTCTTGGAGGTCGCCTCAACCTCCGGGGTGATCGTTCCTGTTTCCGTCTCCTTCTCCGGTGTGGTCATGACTACAGGCGTTGGAGAAGCTGGCGTCTTAATCTCGGTTTCAGTCTCCTTTTCCGGGGGTGGAGTACTGAGTATCGTAGTTGGGGTCTCGAAGATGGTGGTTTCGATCATAATTGGAGTCGGAGCTGGGGTCTGAACCTCGGTTTCAGTCTCCTTTTCCGGGGGTGGAGTACTGAGTACCGTAGTTGGGGTCTCGGAGATGGTGGTTTCGATCATAATTGGAGTCGGAGCTGGGGTCTGAACCTCGGTTTCAGTCTCCTTTCCAGGTGTGGTTACGAGAATGGGTGAAGTTGTGGTTATTGGAAATGTAGATATCGAACTGGTCGTGATGGTGAAGGTCTGCGTGATTGGTACGGTTTTAGGCGTCTCGCTGATTGTGACAACAGTGCTGGTTACTAGGTAATTCGACGAGTTAGTTTCGAAGTCTTCTTGCGTTCCAAATCACACATACCTGGGCAAGAGGTGGTCGTGTAGGTTATCAGTTTCGTGGTGGAAACGACCGTCTCGACTGACTTGGTGACGACAGGCGTAATGGGGACGGGGATCGTAGTAAGGCTAGTTAGTACGGTGGTCTTTGTAAGGGTGACAGGCACTGTCGAGGTTGTAGATTCTTTCGTGATGACGGTTGAAGTCACCGGACAAGTCGTGGTACTGTTGAATTTGATTAGCATTTACTTCAAGTTACTAAGCAAAGGTTGAATCGCGCTAGAAATTCACACTCACGTTATGTACACTGTGCTCGTTGTGAAGCTGGTCGACTCGGTTGATTTGGTGACGATGGGTTTCGTCTTGACAACAATCTCCGTGGTATTAGTCACTTGTTTCGGAAGTGTCATAATGCTGGTGAGTACTGTGGTTTTCGTGAGGGTCATTGGCACAGTGGTGATTGACGATTTAGACGTCACGACGGTGGATGTCACTGGGCAAGTGGTACTCCTACATAATATCAACGTCAGCGCTTCTGTTGGATTTTTGATCAATTACGAATCGCTCCGGAAAAGCTCACGTTATGTATCTCGTTGTAAGGCTTGTGGTCCCTGTGGTTTTAGTCTTGGTCACCGGGACCCTCGTGATGCTCGTTATGACGGTAGTCTTCGTTTCAGTAACGAGGACAGTCTCCGTTGTGGAACCAGTCGTAATGATGGTCGACGTGACTGCCCGATTCGTGTTAGTCGAAAACTTTCCCTGAGTGCGTAGTAAAGCTCACCTGGGCACGTCGTAGTGGTGATAAAAATGGTGCTCGTGGTATAGCTGATGGTCACGGCACTGGGTGACGTAGGAATCGTCTCGGTCTTGGTTTTAAAAATGGTGGTCTGCCCCGTTTTTAGCTCCTTCCCTGTTCCACTTCCCAAGAGATACACACATTTGAGTAGATTGGAGTCTCGCGAGGTAGAGAGACGGAGGGGACCACCACAGTGGTTCCATTGGATGGCTTCAGTGGAGGGGGTGTAACCGATGGTGGAGGTAGGGGAACAGTCCCGATCGAGGTTGTCTTCTTTGGTGGTGGTGGTCGTGGTGGCGGAGCAGTCCCGATCGTGGCTGTCTTCTTTGGTGGTGGTGGGGTGGCAGTTCTATAGCAGCCGCCCTTGCAACTGGTGACTACAATGGTGGAGGTAGTTAGGGTTGTGTGATAGGCGCTTCCGGAACTGATTGTAAGAGGGCACGTGGTGACGGTGGTGTAAGTGGTCAATGTCTCGGTCTCGGGATAGGAGCTATCATATGTTAACATCGAGGTTGTCGATGATGTCAGGTACGAACACACGTAGAGGAATTCCAACCTGGAAACCACCGATTCTCCAAGCCGTTGGCGGCGACAGTAGCGGCGACAACGGTAGACAAAGTGAGAAAGGACTTCATTATGGCGAAGCGCTGCACAAGTGGTAGGAGTGTGGAAACGCAGGAAGAAATGGTGGATCTTGTTCAGAGGAACAAAACGAGAGAAAGAAGAAGAAGAACCGTAGCGAGCGAGTCCTTGCTACCTAAAGCGAGTGTAAATCAGGTTACAAGAGGAAGGAAAAGAGGCGGGCAGAGGCAAGATGATAAAGGCATCCCAGTTGCTTTGGTCTACAAGCACTGCAGATGGATCGTCCCCATCTATTCAAGCAAACGATCACGTCAGACGGATATGACCAGATCCTATCGTGTGGCTTCGTATCTGCCAGCTCATGCATGTCATGGCCTTGCTAGTGGTATACCGTCCTGGATTGGCGTCTTGGAGGCTCGTGGAAATTATTGTACGATATTTTTTTTTCTCTCTCTCGGAACTAGCCTCAGTATCCTCTTCTGCAAGATGCCGCTAAAAAACAATTGGCGTCGACATTAAAAGCAGGCTGCAGGTCGAGAAGGCCATGCCAAGGGTGGAAGAAAGCTAGTGGCAGGTAAGCGAGCATCTCAGCATCTGCGGCCCTAACGACGCACATATAAGGGAACCATGAATTCGCAAGCCCGCGACGGATGAGTAGAAGTTCCTATTTTTCCATTTAGCATCTGCTCATTGCATGAATTACTAAAGCGGTGAGCATATGCGAGCAGAAATATCGTTGTGCCCGTTATTTGCCTTGGCAGTAGTATGCGCAGATGTAGAGAATGGTCCTTCCAGCTTGTTTCCCAGGTCAGTTGGAAATAGTAGGACCGCAAGGGCGATTACCTTAGCTCAGAAGACAACCACGGAAATCGGAGATGTCCAGGCAAGGATATCGAGGGTGTGAAGCTTTCCCATGTGCTGTGGCTCTTAGCGACCGAGGACGGGGTTCTTTACCACTCGAACACGCCTTTTGGCTGCTTCTACACATTGGTCGCCAACATTTTTGGGTCTGATGCATGAATGTGTACTATACGACTGGGAAGAGAAGTGCCGCTTTTTCTGACAAATGTCTTGCCTGTGTGCTAATGAGATGGAGGTAAGAAGAATAATGTGTGGAGCGCATGGGCAAGGGATGGGCAAAGGATGGGCAAAGGATGGGCAGTCTTCCGCACTCACCGGCTGAAAAGAGTGGTGGTTGACAACATGGATAGAGTATACCTAGAAAGAAAAACGTGATGGCGGGGCAAGCTAAAGTACCCCGCCATCTCCTATCTACAGTTAGCCTCGTAGAGCAGCGATCGACAAGCCCCACATTCCTTCCCGTCAGTGCACCACCAAGGAAGAAGGAAGACATTCGAAATATAGCAACAACGAAAAAACAAAGCATGGGCTTTCTTTTTGGTCTTTTAAAATTACCTTTGTAGCTTGTCAACAATCCACGATGATTTCATATCTCAACATCCTGTTCATCGTAGGCAGTAACTATGGATGTAGCAATGCAGTAGTGGGGCCCTTAAGTGGATTTCCTAGCATATGTCCTCAGGTCTTGGTGGATCTTGTGTCTGACATGCATGAGCCAGACCGCTCCCCCCCTTGCTCCGAGCCGGTGCAGGATATAAGGGAATAAACCTGCGGGCATATAATGTGTCTGCTTTCCATCATTTTGGCTACATTTGAATCCTAAAACATGGCCCTCACCGCCAGAAAAAGTTGGGAGGACCAATGATGAGGACAACAACATGTCCGCAACACATAAGTATAACTTGGCTGCCAACCTTCGAACCCAGCCGAGTCATCGCGCTTGGACGTTGTTCTTGAGCTGTGCCTCGTATCCTTGTCGGCTATGATATGTAGCTAGTCAGTAGCGCTCACGTAGCGATTTCGCCATTGATACTCCGTATTCGAAATCATGTCAATAATAGAACACTCCATCTCAGTCGTCGCTCTCGTCGCTTCCACTGTGCCAGCCATTCTCGTATGCTTCGCTGATCTGGCCAAGGCCGTTAGAAAGTGTCTCGCGCTCGTCAAGATTTGCCATCCTGCTGACCACCCTTTGGAGAGCTTTGACTCGGTTAGAGATCCCCGATGTGGTTGAAAGCGAGGTGTGAACCGCAACTTGGGTGAGACCCGGCGAGAACGACAAGATTGGCGGGAAGCTATCGAGGATTGGACACTCAAGCGAGGAGTGATACCTGCACGGGATTAGTTGCATAAGGAAATGTCCTCCGCAGTGGCAGAATCCTTGACAATGTTGGCGTCACGAACCTTTCGATGACTGGCAGACCAGCAAATCGCCTTCGTTTTCGTGCGTAAGTGATCTCGCCTTCCTCCGCTTCTTCATCTCTGGCTGCTTCAACCTTTGTCCTCGTAGTTTCCACGACACCAAAGACATGGTCCGATACATCGTGCTGAGTAGCAAACGGAGATGGGGATCGAGCGTTACAACACGAAAGGTCCATGTCCAGTCTTGGCTCAGCGAGCTTCAATCCGTCCTCTTCGACCAGAGTGCCGTTATTTGCTGATGGCGCTCTATCATCAGTAGTCCCATTGGTGGTTGCAATTACGAGCGGCGCGGTTTCGGGATCGAGCATGCTGCACCGCAGCTGGGCAATCCGGTGATTCCCATGAACATTCAACGCTCCCTCCAGGTTATCAAGAAACCCGCGCTTCTGGGTGTCATGCCTTAGTCTTGTCGGCAGTGTAATACTTTCCAATGCAGCCGAGAGGAGTGCTGAGGTATGCCATTGCGAAGTCCGGTCAAAGTGTACATACTGTGGGAGTTGTGTCGATGGTATTGATAATGGAATGTACATAGATGCATGCGTCGACATCTCGCTGATCATTCTCGCGGCATTGACGGTCCTTAGCAGTTGCTTGGCCTTCTCATCGCAGTCAACAAGTGTTACATCAATGCGGGACGACAGGACCGACTTTCTGCCCTTTGCCCTGCTCTTCTTCAAACCCCCATGTCCATATCGACACCTTCCCGAACTCGTCTCTCAAGCTCTCGACGTATTTGGCTGCAAAGGCGCTCCATGCATCATCTCCACCTGTAAATACCTGGATGCCCTGCATCTGATCGCACTCCTCAGCCCAGACTCTCACGTCTCGATCTAGCAAGTCCACGTCCCTATCCATGCTCGCGAAAAGTTCTTCACCACTTTCCCATTTCTCGAATGGCATAAGTGTGGAACCTAGCTCGTAATCGTTGATTTGCACTATTGATCGCGGATGGTAGAATACGCGATTGAAATCTGACCAGTATCTTACGGTCTCGGTACTTAATTTCTGTGCACTAGGAACGCCTTCGTCGAGGCTTCGTTGGAACTCAGATTGCTCAATGCCAGGATCTTGATGCAAAACAACATTGCCATCCCTATTCTACCACAATTCTTGTCAGTATAGTAGTCTCTACTCACGCTTCTGCACATGAACACCGTTTCTTACCAAACGCCTTTCCCTTGTTCAACCCCTCCATCTCCGCTGATCTGCTGGTCATACAAGCCCCCCCATTTCCTTAAACCCCCAAAGCCGCCCTTAAGATCATAAATCAAGGTCCTTGGCGTGTATGTCTCCTCTCCCCTTGCTCCGATACCAGGACGGAAATGTACATCATGGTCAACAGGGGAAGCTTGAGTGCTGTCATACGTAAAGTAGGATTCCTACCAAGAAGAAAGGGGAAGTGCAAGTTAGATGATGTTGCTGCAGAGTTGGCGTTGAGGGCCAGGAGCGGGAAGATACCTGTGTGTTCCAGAAATGAGTGGCGACGTAGTTCGCACGGTGGCCAAGCTGGATCGTCAGGATCTCATGCATAGTTGGGGAAAATTGGGCATCATATCAGAAACATCTGAATATTGGATTGATGGCGAAGTCAGAGAATCGTGACTTTCTACAGAATACTGACTAGCCACTGTATGCACCCCACGACCGCTTGCGGTATTAATAGCGGCACTACTCTACTCGTTATTTTCTGAAGTTAATATTCCATGATCATAACATCTCACTCTCAGCATGTCAACAGCCAAACGACGTAGAGGGCACTCGCTTCATCTTGAACTTCCCAATCGCGATGCAGAAGAACTGCCACCGGTTGCCGCCGTTTTCCTTATTCTTTTCGACGTCAAGGCAGGGTAGGCTTCTGAGAACTCCATAGTTGCTCGGACAAGGGCTTAAGGAATACTAGTTACACGATAGCATGGAAGCAGTCGATGCCTGGGTGTATGCCTACACCCTTCCAGCCCTGAGACTGTGCTGACTGCTACGGTAGTAGAACTCAACGAGAGCGTGGAATACAAATCCCTCCCTTCTGGGCTACACAATGTCCGAGAAGATCTCATGTACGCTGTCTACTCGTACACTATCATTGCTACAATAAATTGATCAAATGCAAGATACTTCGTCCACGACAACGGCTATGCTGGCATCAGTGCTTTCCTCAACGAGCCCGCCGAGGAGGCGGATCGAAATGCGCTCATGCTGGCTGTAGGAGCACTGGTACCATTGAGCTATGGTAGGCTTGGGAAAAGCTGGAAACACGCCTCGGGATTGAAAGAATTGGCGAAGTGAGTGGGTGTCCATTTGTACTCTTGAATGGTTGCTGACATGGCCAGGACCCTCGTCCAAGATCCTACGAAGACCCGTACGTTATACCCTCCGAGGCAATCTCTCCCCATTGATGCTGTCCTATAAGTCGTCAGACGTGTCTAAAGAGTTCTCTGCTCCTAAGACATGTCTCGCGACTCAGAATCCCTCCCCAAAAAGTAATGCTGACTCCGGCACCATCAAGAGCCACTGAAAGATTTTTGGCTGGCACACAAGCTTCCAACTGAGGAAGACTCCCAGAAGGAAGCAGCAGAATCACCTTCGGACGGACAAGCAAAGCGAAGACAAAGTCAAGGCTCGCCCAACGGCAAAACGCGCAATCGCCATCGTGCTGTCTCAACAGCGTCTGCTCTTGCCCCGCCAGGGCAATCACTGTCGTCTCATCATCCAGCTCTTTCACTGCCTGTGTTACTAGACACTTTCGGGCCCCTGATATTTCCTTTGTACAAGGCGGCGCTGTTACGGAAAAGAATACTGTTTGTGGGCCAAGCGCCTGTTGAACTGGCTTGTAATTTTGGTAAGTAAAGTTCTCGAATTACCGTTACTTTGGCTGAAATGTGTCTTCAGTGTACGACATCTCAGTTGTTTCCTGTATCCCATCCTCTGTCTCTGACCTCCTCCCACTCGAACCTCTACCCACTCGCCTGCGGCCACTTTTCGCAGCAGGTGTCCACGACATGGCAACCCTAGCTCAAGGCTCCCGAGACATCAATCCGAGCTCCGAAGTCACTGATGAGGGCATGGGATATGGGTGGGTGGCCTGTACCACAGATGATATCCTCTCTCACAAAGACCACCTTTTCGATACCCTTGTCACTATTCCGCCATCCTACTCGAAACAAGCTAAAGAGAAAATTTGGCCGCGCGTTGAAGTCAAGAAGGGGACAGAGATCAAAGCCACACAGCGGGATCTGCGTCGGTACCGTACACTTCGCCGAGAGCTTCGCCGCTTTCCCAGCGGCCACTCTCCGCACGCATCCAAGTATTCAAGCACGGAGCAGACTTCTGACCTCCCCTTCGAAAATGCTCAAGAGACCTACGACGATGCTTCCTCTACTCTTGACACTCAACTCGCCGAACCGCAATCCTGGTCCGCGCTTGCGTACTCCAGTTTTATGTGGTGGGCTTCGGCTGGCGAGAAACGCACAGACCTGGACGAAGAAGCAGATCACGATGCTGCTTTGCTACGCCATTTCGATAATTACCGCGGTGATTCACCCGATCGACCACGGTCAGCAAGGAAGTCGCCCGGCAGATCTCCCGGCGTGGAGGGCATGGACACATCCCCAGCAGGATTGGAAATGACGATTATTGGTTACTTTCACCGACTGACTATCTTGATACTCAAGACACTGTCGGACATCATCGATGCTTCCGATTACTCAGATGAGGATACGGATGATGTTGGAAATGCAGACGAAGATGGAAATGGCGGGCAGAAGAGACGGAAATGTACCAGCAAAGATCTAGAAGACGCGGATGCAGTATATGTGAGCAGCGAAGATATGAGCCGTATGGGTCTTGATATATGGAGCGAGAGCGATAGACACTTCGTGCGGGAGCTGGTGGCTCTTTACTGGGGTAGGAAGACCGACGTCAGGGGCGGAAGAGTTGAGTGTTGTGGGGTGAGGATATGTTGATGCTTGGAGGATGGAAGAAGGAGTGGAGAGCTGTACATATGCAAGGTTCCACTTTGGAGCTTGAAGGTATGTGGCTCTCGCTTAGAACACTTCGCGCTCGCTGCGTTAAGATTCCTACCAGTCTATTAATGCCCGTGCTTTGGCTGTGAGAAGCGTGCCCTCCCGCCCTCAAACTCGTGAATAAGAATAAGTCGATGCGACCCCCCAAGTTTAGCAAAAAACCAGAGTAGAGACTGCTGAAAGATTTGTGACGTTTGTATCTCTACGTCTTTTATCGAAGTGCGCCGGAAGAAGAGTGAAACAGGCGAAAAGGGTATCCAAACAGAAAGAATTATACGATTTCGAGGCAGCCTTTGCCACTCCTGTGTTAATATTTGACGACCTTGACCTTGTTCAGTAGCTCCTTTGGCAAATCCTCCCTCTTCACAATCCCAAGCTGAAGGACATCTCCCCAGAAAAACATGGCTCTTTCCTGCGCATAGCCCAGATAATCAAACCCCTCTTCCTCCTCGTGTCCCTCTTCCGGCACTTCTTCTCTGCTCTCTGGCCTCTTTTTATGGGCATCTTGCGCAAGTCTCCCATTCTCTTGGCTCAAGGGATCCGAATCGAGGCGCGCTTCCGGGGCTTGGATGATTGTGGCTTCCGACTTTGGGGTGCTGTTCCTTTGTGCTTCCAATGCCTCGTCCATGCCTGGGACTTTAGCTTGTACGATTCCCCATGCGACCCATTGCGCTGAATTCGCTATCCGCCAGAGGCGCGTCTCCGTTACAAGCTTTTTGACCTCGCTTTCCACCGCTTCGTCTTGCCGTTTCTCTTCTTCTATCTGGGCCATCGGAGCACGACTGTCTAACATGAAGGTAGAGATGGAACTTGTAGGGCCATGGCTGGCCCCTAAAAGTGGTGACATAGATGGACGAGTCTGGATTGGAGGACGATGTTGCACATAGGCTTTGAGGAAGCGGTGCTGCTCTTCGGGTGTTGGGTATCTGTTGGCGTGCAGGGCATATGGTCTCGAAGAGTGGTAATCATAACACCATTCAGTGAAGTGATTTGCGAATTCTAAGCCTGGGACGTTAGCTGACGCATACTCAAAGTCGATCACTATCAACTGCTTGTGTTCGTTTGCCGGCAGGAGCAAAGGAGACTCTCCGCTTGGCTCGAGGCGAAGCAGGTTTCCATATTGGGTCTGAATACAATCAGCGTGCACTGTCAAGACACTTCATGAGCCGAGATCCTCACATCGTTGTGCGCAAATACCAGCTTTTGCCTGATACCTGCCGGGCCTCCATATTGGTCGAAAAGCCACTTTCTATACTTCTCCACGGTCCGCCTGAAGAGAGACCATTCGACACCGCAGACCAACCCGCGCTCCTTCCACTCTCCAGAGGGAGGTGCTGTTGATCCTTGCTTGATTGCCAAGATTTGGTTGTCAAGCCATGAGATGACCTCTTCGCATCTATCCACCCATTTGTTCCAATTCCTCCAGATAAATGCCCCTTCTTCACGTTCCTCCTCCAGCAACTCAATGCCATCATGGAGCTCACGCATTCGCTTGGCTATTTGCTTAGAGGTTTCGGAAATGCGAAGATCCCTAGCGGTCAATGTCCGCGCGTGGAAGAATTGTTCGAATCTACCGTTGGTGAAAGTACCCAATAAGCGAGGGCCGATCTTCTTGCGAGCCAGACGGCGTAGGATCTGCAGCTCGCTCTCTCGGTCAATGAGATGTTCGACTTGAGGTCCATAGATGCGGAGAAGAAGTTTCCTATATCCGGTCAGTCCAACCGTCGACCTGACGATGTGAATGCTTACGGAGGCGGTTTCTTGGGTACAAGAGAAGCGGTGCTGTTGTTCCTTGCAATTGATTGAGTCTGGGAAAGATCTTTGGGCGGCGAGACAACGTATACGGCGTTTGTTAAAGCACCGCTTAGGCGCTCCACATCGATGTCTCCGCCACGATCAAATGGTATTCGCCTCCATCCCCTGAGACGAAGGGTGTGGGATAACCGAACAATCTCCATCTTGAACTGCAACCAGGCTTCTTTTTCTTTCACTGCTCGCTTGTTAGGGTTCAGAAGATCAACATTTGCTGCTCCTCCACTATAGCCCAGTGTTTTGGAATTGTCAAGAACCACCTCGGCTGAAGGCACATCAATGTCAGGTTCCTGGTATTCGGTATCCGATGATGCTATGGTTGAAGCCTTTCGGAGCAAACCTCTGGCAGAACCTTGTCGCCTGGATCTTCGACGAGGAAAATATGAATCCTTCCTGTCGTCGGTAGGGGTAAGACTGTCTGCTCCACCCAACCCCATACTGTTTGACAGGATCTGCTCCAACTTCTCCAAAGCCAGGCTTCCTTCGGATACGTCCGAAGAAGTTCTGACATGGCGCTCGTTGTTCGATTTAGATTCGTCGCTACGAAATTGATTTACAAGGTTTTTAGTTGCTTCTGCAGCGTGTGCGAGCTTCGCATGACTATGTTTCTTGGCCTTGTGGGCAGCTTTCTTGCTTTTTTCTTGGTGGAGCCATTCTGCTACTTGCGAGAGGATGTGACTAGCGGGATCTTGAAGATGTGCAACATGGTGAGATTTTTCTAGTCTGACTTCGTTTCCGTGGTCGGTCGGATCTGGGGTGGTGTCCGACTCAACGCTACTAATGGTTGATATTGAATGCAGCGAAGGACTAGAGGTATCGGCCGCTGGACGTCCTGACAAGCGTTTTGACGTGCTCGTACGATGTTGCTTGGAGGACAATGAAGCACGTGACGATTGCTTCCTGTCTGCTGGTACTATTCTGGGACTTGGCTCAGGAGATATACTCTCAGGCTCGGCAATGAGAACGGCTGTCTGGCATGTGAGCCTCTCGTCCTCATTTGATAGTACACAAAGAAGATAGCTAAGAGATCTAGAAGGAAATGTCGAGAGACTGCCAGGGAAGATTTTTCTAGCAGTGGAGTGGAAAGTAAAGAATTAGAGATTGTCAGGAGGCATCCCAGTAGCAGGCACACCCACTTTGGAAGCATCCCGTAAGCCCCAGTGAAAGGACTTCCGACAGACACTGTGGCCAAACAAACAGGGGTGAGGGGAAGGAGAGAAGAAGGAAGGGGTTAGGCTCACATTTTGATGAGATTGGCTTTAAAGGAGGCAGCTCGGCAGGCTCTTGGACTGTAGGCATTACATGGACAGTCAGGCGTTAGTCGGAATTCAGTAGCTGGTAATTCAGCTATGGGAGCTCGAAAGAGAGGGAGAAAATCATGGCAACTGGAAGATGCAAACAAGTTGGCATTTGACCTTGGGCAAGAGCAATACTCTACTTTAGTCCCAGCCTATACTTCAAGCACGTGAAACCCTTTATCTATATCTTGGCATTTGCTTATAACCCTAAAACCCTGAAGCCCTAGAACCCCTTTTCTAGGACAGCCTTTCCTTCACCACTTGATCAGATCATCTGGTAAATCTAGGCTTACAGGTAGAGCATTGAGAGCGACGTTTAAAAGGTCTGGTCCATTCTCCAGACACTGCCTGCTCCGCGATTTGGAGGAGACCTTGATTGCTCTACAAGTATTAAAGCTGGAAATAAGCAAAAGCCCTCGCAAGAACGTGGCGTCTCAATAAGAAGTAACGGACGCTCATGGATCATAGATTGATTACTGGGGAGGAGTATCTAAGGCCGACAAGCATATTGTGAGCGGATACTCTCAGGCAGATGCAGTACTAAGGCAAGCAGAAAGCTGTGAGCCCGGTAGTCAAATCTGCCATAGCATTGGTATCATATTTGGTGTTATGTCAAGCTTCCATCGTATCCCAGCTTTTCGCAACCACGCTAGTGTCTCTGTCTCTGGTTATCTCGCGTTCAGAGGCATGACGACTCAATCCATGATCTAGTAGAAGAAACTGTAGTGGGGCCATGAGTATGTCGTCAACGTTGTAAACGGACTAGCCTTACCCAATGATCTTTCCTGCGACGTGCTTCCGTCGAGCCTCCTCATGATCCATGATTCCGGCAGAAGTTGTCAAGACAATGTAACCGAATTGACGCGAAGGCAGCAGCTTGACGACCCACTTCTCAAAGTCCGTTATTCGCACGTTGTATCGTGGAGAGATGACGCCTGTCTTGTTGATGCTGTTGCAGAGATCAGCTACTCGTAATGAAGCATGGGAGGTGAGACTACATACCGGCCATTGAGCTGGATGACGATCTTGCCTGATCGGTGGTCATCGACCTCCTCAAATTCTCCAATGTAACCTGGGAAAGATGGACAAGTCAGCAATGTCGCGATGGATTAAACGTTGGACGTCAGAAATTAAATCAGAGAACGTGTAAGATCTTCGCAGATTTGAATATATCGAGTACTTAAAGGGCAAAGGTCGTAAAGTGTTTTGAAATGTTGAGACCATTGCCTAGTTATCTACCCGAATGCGTTCGATCTTGGAAAGGAGAAGAAGGCGCGCCAACGATTACTTGACCGTCTCACGTACCATGCTTTTGCATACAATGTAGAAATTTGACAATGACTTTTGAGCTGGGCCGGATGAGCACTTGGCGCTTGCCAGATTTTTCAGCATTATTGATGGCATTCAGCGCATCGTTGAGGACACTTGTTTTGACCATGTTGGCGTACGTGAGATTCTCAACCCGGCGGTGGGAGGTGAGGTATCTGGCAGAGCGAAGAGATCCATATTAGCCTGTGAGCGCAAAGAGTGCCCTTGGGACAAGGGGTCTTCAGCCCATGTCGCCGGACGAACTCCATGCGCAAAGTATGGTCGGCTCAAGCAACCTTGTACTATGAGCACCAGTCTTAACGTACCTCTATCGTTAGCTAAGTGCGCGGATGGTCGAAGGTTGAATGTTGAATGTTGAATGTTGAAGGTCGAAAGTTGAAAGTCGAGGGTCCGCCAAATCTCGTGGGCCAGGCTAGGTCCAACCTGGTTAGATATTCGTCTGGCGATAAACGGCGATGAAGAAGGTAGCGCTAGCGACTATCAATCATTGTTGAACGCTTTTGTGTCTGAAATTCTACCATACGTCTATGTTTTAATACCTCCAAATCGTTCCTGAACTGCTTATTGCGTTTCTGTTCATTTTTATTTTCCGCACACCCTGTTATCATGATTGACGAAGCATGCTGCTGCACTTGCGCCACGCTGTTGTCGGTTATTTCGCCACAGTATGATGAGAAGACGGAGAAGCCCACAGTGCAGGATCGCCGGTTGGAATGTTGCGGTCGAGTTATCTGTGGAAAGTGTATAGCAGTATGCTCTCTCAATTTACCCTATATCGGGAGCCTCGACTGATCCTCTGTTGAAGGACAATCCTCGATTTGCGTCTTACTGTGAGCCTCCCCATCCGCAAGACGCAGCCCCATAAGGGAAGACTGAATCTCGATACAAGGCCCGTTCTGCCAGTACGTATCTCCGGAGTTGACATTTCCTCTCACGGACCAAGCCTCGAGTCTTGAGACAAGTCTTGGGACTCTTCACTCTTGAAACATGTTTCAAGGCTTGATCCACGCCCCAACAGGCAATACTGACTGCAACATTGTTATCTAGAGTCTCATCCGGCCCATCTTCATTACCTCAAGGCCTTCGTGATCCTCCAGCGTACTCGCCGCCTCCTTCTCCTCGTCCCGCCCATGCTACTTTGGCCTCGCCACCGGACAGCGAGGAGCCCCCAGCGTATTCTGCATTGAACATTTTCACGCCACTAAGAGAAGAGTACCGTTCAGCTTCGGAAGCTCCAGCAGAGGATGTTTTGCATTTCCTGAATCCTTCCCAGGATTCACTACTGTCACTCTCACTACGCTACGGCGTTTCCCAAGATGCGCTGAGGCGAAAGAATGGTCTATTCGCAGACCATCTGCTGGCGGCTCGACGAACAATACTCATCCCTGGAGAGTTTTACAAAGGAGGCATCAGCCTGAGTCCTGAACCAATGGAGAGCGAGGAGGAAGGAATTCGGAAAGCGAAGGTCAGACGGTGGATGGTTGCGTGTAAAGTTTCAGAGTGAGTAGTCGTGCCCCCAATTGATTATCGTGGTCTGGACAAGGCTGATCAGCCGTCGAGCATTCCTGTGCATCTCAGATATGACATTGCTCTCCTCTACCTTCAACAATCAGACTACAACCTGGGTCTCGCTGTCGAGGCGTATCTGGCCGACGAGAGTACGTATTTTCGGATCCCATATTATCCCGTTTTGGAGCAAATCTCGAGTCTTGAGACATTTCTCGGGAGTTTTTACTCTCGAAACATGTTTTAACGTTGGCTATACCTCCTCAAATGGGCACTACTGACGCCGAAATTGTAATCTAGAATGGGAAAGGGAACACCCCATGGCGGGAGCATCGAAACGGGGCAAGACAGGCCAGAAGCCGGGGAAGCGGAAAATTGGCATGCAGACAGGTCCAACCGGTCCGCTCTAAAAGTGAGAGAAACTGTCAATGCTGGAACATGCGGCATTACATTATATATAGCATAGGGCTGGAGTTTGGGGTGGATACGCCACAAGGCATCGACGACCGTGTATAGACTGTATGTAGCTCATCATGTGTCGATACGAAGGAGCAGAAGCAGAAAAGCTAGACTGCGTTCCATCTGGTCTCTCATTCACAGAGGGTTTTCCGTCGTCCGGCACTTGGTGACTAAGATAATAAAAACTACTTACAATATTTATACTTTATTTTTTTTATATAATATTAAATACTATACATACTTTAATAAATATTTAAAATAAATATATATATAATATTTTAAATATAAAAATATATATTATAATTATATACATATATAATTAATTAAAGAACTAATATATAAAAATACATAAAATTCAAAAAATTAAAAAAATAAAACAATAAATCTAAAAAATATATATAAAAACATTAATAAATATATATAAAAAAAACAAATAAAAAAAATAAAAATATAAAATTTAATATAAAAAAAAAATAATAAAAATTAAGCAAGATATATTAAATAAAAAAAAAAAAATATCTAATATAAAAAAGCAAACTAAAAAAACAAAAACAGAAAATTAACAATAAAAAAATAAAGGAATATATTAATAAGTAATTATATAAAAATTTAATAATAAATAAAATAATAATATTAATAAATAAAAAAAGTTTATAAGTAAATGAGTACTAAAAAGATTAAAACTTTTAAAATAACTATATATTAGGCTACTAAAAAGAGTATTTTAAATATAAAGTAAGAGCGATTAATAAAAAAATAATCTTAATAACTATTTAAAAATGAAAAATATATGAGATATATACTAAAATATAAAGATATAAGATAATAATCTATAATAGGTATACTATATATAAATAAATATACGTTAAAAAAACAAGCACAAATACAAGTAAAGTTAACACTTTATTTAATAAATTATAAATATTAACATATAGATAACCTATATAATATTTTATATAATAAAAAAACAGAGACTTAAAACACTATATTAATATTTTAAATAATATTTTATTATAAACAAAAGTATATAATTAAGCTAAAGAGAAAGACGTTATATTTATATTAAAGAAAAAAATAATAACGTAGAAGAAATCTAATAAGCGAATAAGATTGATATAAATGTAATATCTTAAACAGCACGCCAAATTACATAAATAGATTAAAATCTTTATATAAAGAATTAAAATATATACAAATATAATATAAAAATTAATAAAAAATAAAATATACAAACAAGTATATTATTAAAATAAAAAATATTAAAATATAAATAAAATACATATATATATTTAAGAAAGACGAGAAAGTCCGAGAACTGACCCGAAATAATTAAAAAAAATAAATAAAATAAAAAAGAAAAAAATAAAATAAAATAATTAAAAATAATAAAAATATAATATAAAATTTAAAATAAATAAAATAATAAATATAGAAATAAAGTTAATTTATAAAAATAAAACTAACCTAATACTAAAAGAATATATATTTAAATATTAAAATATTTTATAAAAAAAATAAATATTATAAAACTAAAAAACAATAATAAAATAAATAATAACATACAAAAATAAAACTATAAAATAAATAATATTAATAAAAATCTAAAAAAAAAAACAAAATATTATATATAAAAATAAAACAAAAACTAAAATCTAAAAAATTTAAATAATAAAAAAACTTATTAAAATAAAATTAAAAAAAAAAAAATAAAAAACATAAAAGATAAAGTCAGGATAAAACCTAACGAGCCCGAATAACTTTATTAAGTAGTTAGCATGACAAGAGTAAAAAATAATAATTTATAATAATAAATAAATACTATATTCAATAATAAAACTACTTATTTTATTATTTAGATATTAATAAGTATAGTCTATAAGAATATAGTAGAGATTATAGTCTATAGCTTTATTATAATAGAGCTAGCTTATAAAGCATTAATTCTATTCTTTAAACCCTTTACTATATTCGCCGAATTCTAAGATACGCCTCTTATATTCTATATAAACGACTTCTTAATAGCTTCATAACTAAGAATTTATTTTCTTTCTATAGATTACTTCTTTCTAAAGTTAAGTAAATAACTACTCTTATTCTTAAAAATTATAACTATTTATATTATTAATTAAGGCCAAATATAACTTATATTATTAAATATATTATATTCTTAAAGAACGAATTACTAAAGTACTAAGGGTCTATTCCTAAATTAATTAGAAATTCGAGATTTCTAAGAATTATCGATATCACGCGTCGGTAAATAAAGAACTTCGAAAATCGCAAGATCTCTTCAGACTTACAAGAAAATAAAATACGATAAATCAAATAAAATAACTATCTTCGAGATCCTATATATTAAATATATTATAAGAATAAGTATATACAATATTAACTAAATCGAATCGTTTATATATATATAATACTTTCGATTTATAACAGATATACTATCACAAATATTATATCCACCTATAAGAGCTATCTATAGAAACTTATAATCTAAAAGCTATCGCAATAGAAAGAATAAGAAAGTATCTATCTTATACGATTTATACCTTTAGTTTCACTAAAAGAATACCCACTTATAAGCGAGAACCTACGTTATTATCACGTTCTATAAAATATAACTACTTATATAAGCACATATCAGCCTATATAATATATACTAATTATAAACCTCCACTTCCTCAACTTAGATCTTTATAAAATCTATAGACATTAGACTAATAAACTCTCCTAAACTTATTATTAATATATCAACCTAAAAACTTGAGGCTATGAGACCTTATTCGATACTAAATACTAGAAATATTATAATTACACGAGTATAATAGAAATAGAGAATTATAATTCGAAATAAATCTAGAAGAAAATAAGAATAAATTTAATTCGTTTTAATAATACTTACTAAATTAAAGTAACTTAAAGCTTAATAGCACGCTATATGATATTTCTTCTTTCTACAAAAGCTATTTCTACTACAAAACTATAAAATTACTATAAAAGCCTTCGATAAGATCGATAAGAATATTAAGATTTAGATTAAAGCCTATCACAGTAATATCTAATTCGATAAAATCTATAAATTCTTACTAAAGATCTGACCACTAGCTACTAAACTTTTAAATCCGAGTATACGATATATTCTATAGATCTTGAAAGACATATATTACCACACGAAAAAAGATACTACATACTGAAAGTTTATAATAAAGCGATATTAAACTAAGCTTCCCAAACTACGATATATTAATCTAAGAAAATATAAGATATTAAAAATATATTACCAGTATCTAGTATACTAAATAAAACTACTACCAGATCTCAGCCTTTATATTCTATTAAATTATATACCCTTTAACTTATAAGAATAGATTTTAAGCCTACTTAAAACTATTAAAGTAGAATCTACTTTTATACTCGTAAAAGTCTACTATATAAGCAGGTTTACGATTCCTTATACTATATACTAATATAAAAACATTATCTAATATCTAAGTTATTCTTTACTATATAAAAAGCCAATCACTACCCGATTATAATTAACATTTCTTTAATAATAATTAAAAAATTCTTAAGATTAAACATTACGTATTATAAGCCCTTAATACTTAAGAGCAGAATAGTGAGGTATAATAAACTACTAAAAGCGGTACTTCATAAGAATTCTCTTACCGAATTAGATAAGATAGCGTTTATTAAACTAAAATTATAATATACGAGTTATTATACTTAAGAATCTCTTCTATAGTATTCTTCGAACCGCTATTAAAAGCTTCTATAATATACTATCTATATATACTTTTAAATATAATATTCTACTTAATAGCTAAGTAAAATTCTATTAACTATACTAGATCGTATAATATATCTATTTATTAGATAAACTTATAATATAATTAGACAGCGTTAATTATAGAAAAAATATAGCTCTTAATATAATAAGAAATCAAGTAATTACGCATTATATAGCGATCTAATTATATTATATTAGAAAATATAGAAAGCTAAAAGCTGCAAAGAGTTATTGAATAAGTAATATAGTAGATCTTATAGAAGATTCTTATACTATAAACTAATAGCCGAAAATTAAACACCATTTACGAGTACCTAAGATTCGTTACGAGGCTATCGGATCCACTACCCTATTACTATAATACAAACTACCAAACATCCGAGCTTCGGTTATACTTCCCGGGTTTATACTTAGAAGTTAGCTTCTAAATTAACCGCGGGCTTAGCGTCCTGCTATAGCATTATATGAAATAATTACAGAACAGTGGTTGGTTTTTTCTTAGGGCTACTATGCTACGGCTTTGTTTCTTTACCTACATTGTAAGCTTATAGTCCTGGGGCTTATCTGTTTGTTCCGTAGTCGGAAGGTCTTGCGGGGTCTTTCTAGCTTTATATAGTATAGTTTACTTGGCTATCCTACTCGGTCCCTCCAAGAATCACATCCCTACCTTTAGTGGTATTCACAACTCACCTCGCCGTGCTCATGATTGAGGTAAACGGAATAACCTTCTTCTACCCCTTTCTTTCGAAATGAATCATAAAATTGCCATGCATTTTTGACTGACATCTCACATCATGGCTGCCGAAGTAAAAGCCCAAACTGAGCTCCAGGACTTCAAGAGTCTCTTCTCCCTCGATGGAAAAGTAGTGGTCGTCGTATGCGCACCCCCCCCCCCCACACCCCAAAACACCCCGGAACGATACCAATGTTTTGGCTCTCAAGACATGTACTGGGTGCAGAAGGCGTTGTAAATTGCCTAGATCTGTGCTGTGAATCATGATATTGTCTCGAAGCAATGCTGACGCCTGATTACGCATAGACAGGCGGCTCACGGGGACTGGGTCTCCACGCTGCTTCTGGGTATGTTCTTGGTCTCGACCGGTATTGCGTGCGATACTGACGGAAGTCCTCTCCATTGCAGCTTCCTTCAGGCCGGCTGCTCGAAAGTTTACATAACTTCGCGCAAAGCTGCAGCCTGCGACTCTGCATGCGCCGCCCTCAATGCCCTACCAAACAAACGTCCAGGCGCTCAAGCCATCTCAGTGCCCGCCGACAGCGCAAAGGTTGCAGACGTGGAGGCTCTGGTAAAGAAGGTCATGGAAACGACGGACCATGTGGATATCTTATTTGCAAATGCGGGGGCTACGTGGGGGGAGAAATTCGATACTCATCCTGATGGCGCTTTTGCAAAGGTGATGGACTTGAATGTTAAGAGTGTCTTCAATACTATCCGCTTGTATGTGCTCTTTTTCCACGCTGATGGCTGGGCGGTCTCCACAAGTATTACCACTGACGCCGCATGAAACAGGTTTGCAGCGCTACTTCAGAAGAATGCAACAATGGAGGACCCCTCCCGAGTCATCGTTACCGCCTCTATTGCCGGCCTCGGTGTTGGCTCTCTGGGTGAAAATGCGACCTTTGGCTACTCTGCGTCTAAAGGTATGCCCGCATTCTCCAACCAGCATTGTTTGTCGTTAATGTTCTTTCCCCTCTATAGCGGCTGCAATTCATCTTACCCGGAATCTGGCTGTCGAGCTCGGCCCTCGACACATCCTTTGCAACAGCATTGCCCCAGGTTTCTTCCCCTCGAAGATGGCTTCGGGATTGATGTCATTGCATGGTGGTGAGGCAGAGATGGCAAAGCAGAATCCCAACGGTCGATTGGGCAGGCCAGAAGACATTGCCGGCGCAGTGGTGTACTTGGCGAGTAGGGCATCCAGTCATGTCAACGGAGCCTGCATTACCCTCGATGGCGGCGCATTATGGGGCAAAGGAAGGTTGTAGAGTAGCTCTCTTGCGGTTTTGACGGTCGTACATATGGTGCATGTCCTTGGCATGAACATTGAATTTGGGTTCATGAGGTTTGGTGCCCCGTCATACAATTCAGAAACCTTGTCTGTAATTCTTACCATATATGTGTAGAACTTAGGTTAAAATGCCCGGATTCGGACACGAAACGAGGCTCTTTAGGACCTACCATCTAGCTTCTTCTTCTTCATCTTCACCTTCACCTTCACCAATCGCGACTCTGCACACCCGGCATCGCTCCCTACACCACGCCAGATCAGCTCGACGCTACGCATTCAACCCTTCACAAAATCTTCAAATCAGGCAAGATCGAGTCAATTTTTTGGCGGAAATGGCATTTGAACTTAGAAATCTTCAGCACGGACAAAAAAGAGATTGACGAAAGTATCTGACCACGATCCTCTTGCATTGGTTACTTATCTTTCAATCCTCTGAGCCAAGTTCCCTGGAATCTAACATGCACCAGTCCTCCCAAAGACCTCGTCAGGAGGTGTGACGGTCAACGATGTAAAACCTTTTGCACTCAGCTGGAATAATGACCCGAGCTTTCTTGCGCAAGCCTTTTGCCTTTTCCACTCATTCATTCCCTATTTTTGCCGTAAAACATGTTTCGAGAGCCCTTCACTCTCCAAGGTCCTATTTGTGACTCGAATCCCAATTTCAAGAAGTCTTAACGGTTTCCCAAAACTTGGAGATCATGCTCCACGCCGTTGTCGAGAACACTTCCTTCGGCGGGGGCAGTGATGCTTACCAAGGCAAATGCGGCTTCGAGGCCTTCACGCATCACCGTCCTGCCGTACCTGTGCCCGGCTGGTTCGAATGCCTGTGTAGCTTTCGGTATCCACCCTATCATAAGAAGCATATGTCGAAAGTCGATGTTAAAAATCCTAGTCTTACGAGGGGAGAGACCTTGGAGGACCAGAAAGTGGGTATTTCGACATCGACTACGGCGTCGAAGCTACTGGCGACTTCTGCAAAGTGGGCTACCGTCACGGTGAATTTTGCTATGGTGAATGCAAGGATTGAGATGCTGAGGTCTGCGATAGGTGGGCTGCCCAACGGCTCAACAGTCAGGGGGCAGCTTTCGAATAAGCGGTGTTCGTGGGAATGTTAATGAACAGGAGCAAAGAGGAGCGGACGATAGTCCATTGAGTGTTTAGGCTCTAGATCACGTACAACTTATCAACACCGCGGCTTGCATCCGCTACTTGTTCGAGAAGCAGACGGCACCAGTGCATGAAATTGCCAATTTCAGGCAGCGTGATCGCGACAGATCGAGCTTGCGCCTGGGCTTCGTTGCAAAAGAGTGTCCATGCGAAAGTCGTTGTCATTCAATCCGCGTATCTCTCTATACCAAGTCTATATAGCTTCCGCAACTCCCAATAGCAAATCTCCAATGTCCCATGGGCTAGCAATATCAAGCAGCGACCTCTCAATCGTAAACTGGACGTCAATCACACACAGACCACTACAATTCTTTCTTCAAGAAATGCTCCGGTTTGTGGCTCGTCTCAAAGTCAATGTGCACATATGCCCTCTCAACATGCGGCAAACTTTCCAGCTTCATCTGTAGCGCTTCAGCCACGTCGTGCGTAGTGCGCAAGGTCTCCGAGGAGTCCATGACAATATCGACTTCCACTATGATCCGCGGACCGGAGTGGTAGGCCCGAACGGTGTCAATGGCAACGATGGCGGGAGAATGCGTCATGGAGATGTAGGTGATCCATTGCTGCATTTGCGTGTCTGCTGTTACACCGATGAGGAGCTGAAACTCTGAGTAGGCGGTAGAGAGCCAGAGGTATGAGATCAAGCAAGAAAGCATGATAGCGCCCATCGGATCGATCCACCACTTCAATTTACTGCCACCGACGGAAGTGAGGAGACCAAAGCCGTTAATGAAAAGGTCATTGCGGTGATCTTCCCAGAGAATACGGATCTGAGAATAGACGTTACGCAGGGTCCAGCAGTAGCAAAACAGCGCGAGCTTTGTAACACCTGCGATGGCCACCGCTATTACAGAGGGTAGATGTAGGGGTTTCGTCTTTTCTGAAGTGCCTTGTTTCAGCTCCATGAGGGATAGAACAATGATGATCCAGGAGACGGCGGTCATAAGGAAGCAGAACACGATGTTTCCCGCGGTTTCGATACGAGCTTTGCCCGAGGGGAATCTTCGAGGGTCGACTCTTTTGACGGCGCGATTGCAGACGATGAGGGTGATGTTGGACATAGGATCGAAAATGGCGTCGGCCATGGTGGTGAACAAGGAGAGCGAACTGCCAGCAGAAATGGCGGCATAGGTCTGCAGGACAGCGAGGAGGAGGTTAGCGACGAAAGAGCCTCGCACAGCGATCTGGTACTTGAGATGGTTTTCCCCTTGGAAGATTTTAGCCAGCCTTATGTGCTCGTCGACGGGCTTGAGCCATTTCTGGATATTTTCGTTCTGATTCTCATAGAAGTCCTGAAGTTTCTTAGCCTTGTGCGCCTCTTTGTTCAGAGTGATAGGACCGTAGCCATCTCTTTTCCGAGAGGTATTTGCACGTATTGCCTCGATCTCGCTGTCGGTTTTGAGCTTCGTAGAGAGCTGGTAGGGGTCATTGTCATGGGAGTAATCCGGAGGCTGGTTCTCTTCATCCGACGAGGAATTAGTGGGATGGCGAGGTATGGGGTCGTTGTCGTTGGAGCTGGGCTTGGCAGATTCGAAGGCAGTACTTGTGGCTCGTTGAGCGGTAGTGACTGCTGGGGTTTTACTCGTTGGGGCTGTTGGAGTGTCGGATCTTGGAGGCTGGCTATGGGCTGGATTGGGATACATTGGTATAGTATTGGGGAGGTCGGCCATAGCGATGGGCGGTGGTGTGGACCAGTCGCTACTTGAGCGATAAGTTGCATGAAAGATGATGGAGTGTCAGCATGATTCCGTAATGATAATGATAATGATGATGCTAATGCTTTTTGTGACAATATGAGGACCACTCTACTTCTTGCTTTATTTTATGGTGCTTATAAGATAAGTTGTTGTGTGCCTTGCTTTCATGGTCGAATGCTGATGATTGCCTGTGCTTGTGCTTGTCTTGTGGGCTCTTGTGGGCTCACAGCCTTGCTGGCCCTCGGAGCGAATCAAAGCTATCTTCGGCTCGGCCCGCCCGGATCGGAAGGTCCGAGAGACTGAGGGCAATTGTCTTTTGCCGAATCATCTTTCCGTCATCCCGACCCCGCCGCCAATTTCTTCAATTGGCTGTCTCACAAACATAATAAGTCCTCATATTCTATAAATAATGCATCCTTTAAGAGGTCAGGTTAGAGCCCGGTTGTCATTAAGAAGAAGAAAAGAAGTCCGTGAGCTCCTCCCTGCGAATCTCTCCCAAAACATCAAACATATTTACAAAGACCCAAAGGAGCCGCTCAACTTCAAGAATGGATCCCTCAAAAGCCAAGGTACCTCCAATGAAGGACTTGACCATCGATAACATCACCGAGAACACTATCCGCATCAATTCCCAAAGTTCAGATCCTCGTCTCACCTACGTCCTCGAGCGGCTGGTCACACACCTTCACGACTTCGCGAGGGAAACAAGACTGAGTACGAAAGAATGGATGGCTGCATTGGAATTCCTGACTGCTGTGGGTCAAATTTCCAGCGACGTCCGACAGGTAGGCTCCATATATCTCCAAGGGCGTTGTCTTAGCAAGCTTTCCGAAGAAGTGGCAGTCATAGGTGGTGGCCAGCGCCATATATTACACGATAGATGGTGGCAAGCCGAAGTGACTGGCCATCAATGGGTAGAAGCAGTTTGAGCAGGCTTCATTGTGGAAAACCAACCCCGTCATTCGTATTCTCATGGACTTTTACCATGGCAACCGCGACCTTTTCTGGCAGTGTGCTTGCTTATTTACAACACACGCCACTTTCACGCTGACCATATATCTTCCAGGAGTTCATACTTCTCTCTGATATCCTTGGCCTTTCTCTGCTCGTTGATAGCATAGACCACCCCAAGCCGGCCCGTTCCACCGAAGGATCTGTTCTTGGCCCCTTCCACTCACACGAAGCGGAGGATATGGCGCATGGCGACGCAATGTCCCATGATGCCCAAGGCGAGTCTTGCTTAGTCCTTTGCACTATCAAGGACTCGCACGGCAAGCCTGTCCCCGATGTGAAGATTGATATCTGGGAAACGGACTCTTCAGGGCACTACGACGTCCAATACGCGGACCGAGAAGGTCCAGACGGGAGATGCGTCATGAAAAGTGATCAGGATGGCAACTTCTGGTTCAAGGCCATCAAGCCAGTTTCCTACCCAATTCCTCACGATGGCCCAGTGGGAAAGCTCCTCGAGAAGCTGCAACGCCATCCGTTCAGACCAGCGCACATGCATTTCATGTTCGAGAGACCGGGATACGACCACTTGATCACAGCGTTGTACACACGCGGTGACCCTTACGAGACGTCAGATGCTGTATTTGGAGTCAAGGAATCACTCCTTGTTGAATTCCATCCTGCTGACAAGATGATTGCCAAAGAGTATGACGTGGAAATTGGATCTGCAGTATTGGAGCATGACTTTGTGCTCGTATCGGATATTGAGGCTTCAGACCTACGAGATGAGCGAAGTAAGAAAGCGTTGGCCGATCTGGGAAGAAAGGTGAAGCTGGTTCATGGTTTGCCCGTGCCAGATGTTGACTGAATCATGTTTCTCTTTCTATGTAATGATACTTCAGTAGGGAAAAAACTGTCACCAAACGACCTACCAGTAGCCCGAAGTTGAAGAGCCCGTAAGCCTGCAGCGCAATGCACGCAAGCATTTCTCTCTGCAATCCAGGAGGTAAGTCCTAGTACAGTACGAAACCTCCGTTGAAGAGGCGATCTCAGGCTGTCCCTGATGCTTCATGTCCGGCACAAAGGGAAGAAGTCGCTGTATCGTCCTCATGTGAAACACAAGCCATGGTCAAAAATGCCAAGACAATTTCACAGATTCATTGTTCCAATGATGACCGACTGAGATGCGTGGATGGTACCAGAGCGTTGTAAAGTCGAGATGGTCAGAGGCGAGATATGGTGTTGGCTAACAGGATGGGCAATTACAGTTTGACCTTTCTTCTCTTTTCGAAACAGCCTCCGCCAGCAGATTCAGGCCATGAGGCCGTGAGGCCACTTGGACGAGCGCCGCTTGCAGTTTTACAATTCACTCCAACAGACAAATCTACAGGACATGATTCGAATTCCACACCCGCCGAGCCGCATATTCGTACTTGACCTCTTTGATTTTGTCGAGCCTGCTGCCTATGTGCATGGAAGAGTTGATGATGATCCTTGATGCAGCCAAGGCGAAGGAAGGCGAAGGACGGCGTTTAGAATGTGCTGATAATAAATTGATTGGCTACCGGTCGACGGTCAGCAAAAAGACTCGTAAAAAAAAAAAAGTCTGACCCGTTTGATGATCATCCGAGAGAGCAGTCTAAAGGACAGTCTACCTAACCGCCCGGGTCGATCTTTGCATTAGCGGTGCATCCATGACCAATCACACCTCGGAAAGACTTGCAAAAATATATTGAAGACGAGCAGATTTGAAGGTGTAAGTATAGAATGTTCTATATGGCCATCTGATTGTTTTATGCGTGGAGTGGGGGAAAGAGAAAGATGTTGGAGAAAGTGGGAGTATACTTTATGAGTAGGATGGAATGCTTTAAGTAAGGTAGTTCTAGCCGCCAGGGCCAAGCCAAAAATAAAGAACCCAAAAACCTTAATTCACGTCAATCATCCAATCGGCAGTTTGCTCCCTCCACAAGCTCAAGTACCTAAGTAAAGTACGCTCGTCTCTACTTACCTGATACACTCAGACTCTACTATACTTTACTTTAGTACTTACAGCCGCCGGCCATGCTGATGTGATATTTGACTTTTGACTAATGTAGCCGGCCGTGGGTTACCGCTGGCTCTGTTTTTAGCTGTCCACTCGACGCCTCGTTCAGAATCTTGATTCTTGGCTCGATTCTTGGCTTCTATCTCGCTCCTGCTACTTACCTTAAATACCTTACCTTAAGGTAGTCCTACTTTCAAAGACCAGTTGCGTCGCTTGTCGCTGGACAAAAATAGAAACATCTCGCAGCATAAATAACATACATAATACACATAACATTCATCATGGCCTCCAATGTCCTCTCACCATATCTCTCTCTCCCCGAGTCACTCTTGCCTCCGCATCGAGACCTTTCACATCTTTACAATCCATCTACTACTCTACTAAATCCCCCACCTGGCAGTGTCCAAGGCATCTTAGACTTCTCCCTTCTCTAAACCTCTCCTACTCTCTACACAATGTACTCACAACTGCTCCTCCTCTCCTCACTAGCCTGCTTAGCATCAGCAGCGGCAATAGGGCCGTGGCATCACGAGCCATGGGCACAACCCTATCGAGATTATGTCGGAGGCATTAAACGCGTCCTGGCAGCGACCTCCACATTCACATGCGTTACTCCAGCCAATTCAGCCATGCCTTCATCCACGCTGCCCCCGCCTTCTCAAGGTCTTACTGTCTATCATGTTGCACTCGGACGTGGATTACAAGTAAGCGTTCGGGAAATATCTTCTTCCCCTATTGCTTCCTTTACTAATGCGCCTAGAACTACACTTGCCCTCTCGACGCTGGCTCTTCGGACGTCCCAATTGCCCTTGGCGCCGTTGCTAATCTCTACAACACCACCTGCATGGCCAGCGTCCCCATACCTGGCGGGAATCCCCCTACGTTCTCAATAACGCCCCTGCAGTCGCCGTGGCGAACTCCAACCCCAATGCAAGCGACAGCAAGCCCATACATCCCCTCGGATCCAGCTCGGTGATTTCCGGCCACCATTACTTCACCGACAGCACTACACCAACCTTTAACCTCGTCTGGGACACCACAAATTACGGCATCTTCTTCTCGAAAAAGACCTCCAACGTTACAGCGCCAGCTACTGCCGCCATCGGACCGGATGGAAGCAAAGCCGTTCCCTGGCTAAAGTTGGAAGTGGAGAGCCCAGTCGCTCCACTGACGATTGAGCAAAAGGACCTGGTGCCCAGCGTGAAGGAGATCTATAGGGTCAATACTGCAGGGGGTGCTGCGCCAGCGACGTGTGCAGGGATGCCCACGGCCTTCTCGAGGCAGTATGCCGCGGAATATTGGTTTTTTGCATGATGTGTACATGAGACGAAGCCTCCTTCTCAGTTCTCTTTTTCCATTTCGGTTCCCGGCTATGACTAGGATGGCGTTCTCCCGAGATATCATGGCGTTCTGGCGTAGCACAAACGTGCATGGAGGCTACACAGCTATCATATAAATGGATACAGCCACCTCTCGATCAAATAAAATGATCAATCTTCTAATGTTCCAAACACGCCGACTGACCAATACAGTACATCATTAAATCATAAGAACGTACGAATATTAGACAGCTGAGCTCGAGAATACGCGAAAGTTCAACGAACCGTTCCCATGGTCTATCTACAAGTCGAGCTTAGATCAAAGAAAAACACTTTATGGACCCACGAAAAGCAAACCATAGGTCCTCAGACCCTGCTACGTGAATCCCACAGCCCATCGCCGTGTGCGAGGACGCAGTCGTATCTGAAAGGCTCGTCGCTCCTGCTGCAGGAGTAATGCCGCCGCTGCTGCTGCTTGTTTCCAGTGGTGACGATCCTCGAAGGACTCCGTCCGACTGTCTTGACGCGTTGGAGCCTTGAAGCGGACCCGGACGGTGCCACTCGGATCACTCTGGCCTGCCGAATATTCCACCGATGGAGGACCATGTCTCGAAGTGCCTACTTGTAGCAGTCCGAGACGTGAGATTGGCGGATTTGCATAACGTGGAGGACATGAGACGTGCCCCGCGTGTCGTGACTGCTGCAAGTTGGAGATGAGTTGCCTTGACCGCAAGCCTTGGTTGGGGAGCTCCCGTTCTCCGCGGCTTTAGGATCAGATCGCGCGGCGACGGGAGAGTGTCAATCGCGAAATAGATGCTGGACTGGTCGGTGCGGTTGCGAAAGAAGCTTCTCGCGCTGGTAGATATGCTGCTGGAGTTGCGGATGGCCGGGCAAGGGATGCTTCTGCTGCTGGGTGGGAAATAGGCAGATGGGTAGATCGTTCTGCGGAATTGCGAGGTTCTGTCACTGTTGAAGTATGTTATCGCTTTGCGGAGCCATGTTTGGGAAGCGCAAGGTATGAGTTGCTTGGAGCTAGTGCCAGCCGGTTTGGTGGTGGCGATTCCGCTGGCATTGATGGTTGTGTTTGTGGACGAGGAAGGGGCGGCTCCTGCTCCTGCAGATGTTCGATCGCCACTTTTGCAGAGTCTTCTGGAAATAAAGCTAGGGCTGGAGGACTGGGCTGTTGTGCTTGCGCAGAAAAGTCTGAAACAACAGATCGATAAGCGTCCCATTTAGGCATAATAAGAAACACCAAAGGGATGACTCACCTGCGGAGCTCAAAGCCAGTAGAGTCGAAAGCAAAGCAAACAGAAACCAGAGAAGCTGCGCAAACTTTACCAAAGGCAGGATTCGCCCCGTAACAAGCATCGCTGCAGGGGCCATATAGAGCTGCTGGGACAGTCAAGAGCTTTCTGTCGCGGAACTATACGTAAACTATACGTACGTAGAACAGGCGACGTCGCTAGATTTTGCTGAGCTGAAGTCCACGAGAATCGCAGTTGACAGGCACAAGACACAAAAAGCCGGTTATAAGAGACTTATGGATGAATGCATAAAGGTACATTTTACATACACTGAATAACACAGTATCAACTCTAGGCCAAAAATGCGATCTCTGAGCGCACCGTACTCCCTTTCTGTGGTGAAACTCCGTCGTCTTCTAGATGCATCAATGGCCAATCCTGAACGATGCAAGATCAAAGGTATGATTTCGAGCTTTGGGAGGCTGGATGAGGCTGTTGGCGTTTCAAAGACATCTGGCCAAACCATTCGCTCGTTACTCGTGAGCGCTGGGCTACTAGTCGCCAATGTTACACAACACAGCGAAAGCTTGCTCGACGCAAAATACTTGCTCTGCTCCAAAGCAGGTGTGCTGCCGGGTATATACCCATCAGGGGACCGGTGGATGTTGGAAGGCCCAGACAGGCGGACATAACCCCAGTGCAACGGTGCCACACACGATGCCTTTCTCCTTATTTTCTTCCTTACGTTTTCACGTTCCTGCGCCAGCTTCAAATCCCTCTTGAAGCCAACCGCCGTGCTGCGCGTCCGCTCCAGGATTGCCACCTGCAGCCGCGATCACGTCGACCGCCGCGCTAAGGTTGCTTGCGTGGTTGGAAACATCGAAAGAATGCATCCAGTAAAGCATCACGAATATCAAGATATGTAATGAGAAGCAGTAGAACGCAAACAGGTTTCGGCTTGTTCTGTTGGCGAGAATCATGCGAGTGACGGAAAAGACCACGCGTTCGGGAAGGCTCATCCGTTTGTAGGCCCTTGTAGACTCGCGTCCACGGAAAGCGGCGAAAGGAGAAAGGTTAGCTTCGTACGTCGAGCGGTAGCGGTCTAAAGAGAGGCCTGAAGGTGTCTCTGCAGACACTGATATTGCTGTGGATTGTGGAGGCTGCGCGTATGCCGAAGCTGATGAGGCTGGCACACCTCGACTGTAGGTGGAAACGTAGCGAGATTTCTCGTAGAGGTTGAGATTGTCCTTTTGCAGGGATGCAATTTCCTGCCGAAGGGAGGAGACCGTGTTGTATTGTCTTGAGAGCTCTTCTTCTAACTGCGTGTTCTTCTGCTTGAACCGGTCACGCTGAGCTTGAATCATAGGCATGATTCCGGAGCCCCCACCCACAGGCTCACCCGCTCGGATGGCATCCAAGGTGTTGCGAGAGGTGCTTTGTGGATCGAAGCCAGATATGATCGAAGATGTTGGAGATACCCTACCTTTGCGGCTCGGGAAAGAGTTGGCATTGTACGATGAAGACGGATAGCGAGAGGTATAGGTCCCGGCGACAGACATAGCCGACGAAGGGAAGGCATTGGATGCCTCTTGTTGTACTTTGACCAGGTCCGTTTCCAGAGTCGCGTTCAGATTCTGTGCATGTTCTAGATCTGAGTTCGTGTTTGACATGGTCTCCTGCATCCATTCCAGCTGCTTTTGCAGATCTTGATGCGAAACTCTCAGCACTGCCATTTCGTTGCTTAGCTTTTTATTTCTTGCAAGCAGCAGCTGTTCAAGCGAGTCCTTTTTGTCTCCTGAGACCACGCCGTTGACAGGACTCAGATCGCTATTGCCCTCACCATCGCCAACCGGGCTGGCGTCGTCCTCGTCGAGAGTAGAGAACTCGATTGACTGTCGCAGATCAGCAAGCTACATGCGACAATCAGAATAGACTATACCTTGAAAATCTCCAGCTCCTGTTTGATTTCATCGTAGTCACGCCATGATTGTACACGCTCACGCAGCCCTTCTCTATCACGCTCTAGCATCTGAGCGTTCTTCTCCAGTGTACGGATGCGAGTTTCCCGTTTCCTGGTCTCTGAATCCTTTTCTAGCCTGATTTTGTCCAATTTTCTCAACAGCGCGGAGTTTTCGGACCTTAGACGTGCATTGTTGGGGTCGTCATCTACAGCGGACTTTCGCTGGGCACTCGAGGAGGCTTCTGCAAGCTCCACCCTCAACTGCTCGTTCCTTGCCTCAACTTCAGCCAAGCGTTGGCTAGTTCTGTCGAGATCTGAGCTCACAATCTCTAATTCAGCAGCGCTGGCAGAGCTGTGATGGGCTTCATTCTCGCCGTCTCCATCTTGGCCCAAGCGCTGTGAAACTTCGTAGCTAGCTTTCAGCTCGTTCATGAGACGTTCTTGGCTTTCAATCTTCTCTTCCATACTTCGTTCCTTGGCTTTCCAATTGTCTTTCTTCTCTTCGACTACAGCCTTCCATGAGGTTTCCACCTCCTTGATCTTAGAATCTCGTGATTCTTCTAGCGCCTTCCTAGCTGCACGTTCTTCCTCTACTTGGCGGTCCAAGTTGTCTAACTGCTGCGTAAGATTGCTGATACTGTTCTGGAGGTGTCCATTCTCAGACGTAAGCTTGGGAAGCGTATCCTCAGACAGCAAAAGCGCATCAACAGATGCTTCAAGCAATGGGTACGGATCTGGGGCTTCGGAGACAGAAGAGTAAATTTGCAGGAAGGCCGAAGATGTAGTCTTTCCATGACTTGTGAGGAGGTCAATAAAGGTCTGGTAGGCTGTTCACTTTCAGCTGGGAACGATGGTGGGCTTTCATGTAGTGTTAGTACCTTTCAAGAGACCCTTGAACTCCCCCAGCTTGGCAGCGTCGTCCAGCTTCCTGAAATCCTTCGTCTTCTGCGCCAGATCCTTGCGTGACAACAATGCATCTCGTTGATGTGTAACAATATCGGTGGCTGTAGAATCGAGCTCTGGGACGAGCTTGGTCAGGTTAATATCTACAAGGAGCTATCAGCTAGGGCATGTCATGTAGCATTTTTGGCAACCCCTACTTCTCCAGGCCGAGATGGCACTCTGGAACTTGTTGTCTTCATGCGAAGACGGGGAATCGCCATTGCTCAATAAGGTGGTGGAAGCGTTCTGGGTAGCGTTCGAGTTATCCCCAGGACCGTCTCGATCACTCTCGTAGGGAGATGCAGTGTCCCCTCCCCCAGTGACATCCATGTTGCATTTGGTGTCTGTTATTGGTTTGGTCCGGCTGAGGCATTTGATTCATAGTCCACTGAATCTATCACCCAATCCTCAATACCTTGGATTGGCTTACTTGTAGGAGTGAAGGACAGCTTGGAGATTACGGCTCGGGACGAGTCAAACGCCAAGGCTGAGACGGTCTTCTCCAAAAATCACTGGATCGCGATCTTCCTTCACTCATAATAGTATCTACGATGGGATGAGCTCACTATAACAAGGCTGATGAGGCCTTGAGGTCTCTATAAGAAGTTATGTCCGAGGAGGAGCAGAGTGGGCTCTTCCATGGGCCTGGCAATGACGGAAGGGTTTCTACCGGCTCATACGTCCTCAGGCCTCTGGTGCAGGATATTCCGCTTTCGACTGAGGAAAATACAGCCCAGGCTCGTATCACTTGTGTGGAGCTTTGTGATGAAAACCTTTATATTGGCACTTCTCAGGCAGAAATACTACATTTTGTCTCCATTCCCGCAGATCCAGCAGACTCTTCTGGTTCGCAGTATATTTTTGCCTCGAGACTGCAGCCAGCGTACGGTCCTCAAAGCTCTGGTCCCGATCAGGTTCTGCCTGGTGTGCAACAGATTTTAGTTCTACCAAAAGTACAAAAGGCATGCGTTCTTTGCAATGGTACTTTAAGTTTCTACAGTTTACCTGAACTGAGTCCTGCCTTCGACAATAACACGGTAGCTAATTGCACATGGGTGGGAGGTGTGGATCTCAGCAACAAGTCGGTTGCAGAGGAGAATGGGGTGGTCGTGATGATATGTGTCAAAAACAAAGTCAGGCTTATGCGGATACGTGATGAAGCTCGGCGAGTTCGGGACATCGAGTTTCCAGGCTGTCTCATATCTACTCGCCGAGGCAATTTTGCTTGTGTGGCAGACACTCACTCATATGCCTTGCTTGATGTCGAGAATCAGCAAAAGATCACATTGTTTCCTATATCATCGCTAGATGAAAATACCGCAGGTGGAAGAGTTGAAAGTATATCAACTACGCCAGATTCTACGGCTGTACGAATCTCTAATTCATCACGCCCGATATTGAGCGAAGGCGCGTCGGATGGTAAAGGTCATGGGAGGAATACAAGCCTCGGTGCCTTTGTTGGAGGCCTAGGAAGACGTCAAGCTAGTCCTCAATCTACAAATCGAGATAGATCAGGCCTTGCAACTCCGGAGCTAACCACGCGGGATAGCTCTCCAACATCATCTTCAACTCGTAACAGGTCCACTTCAAAGCCAGAGAATTATACTCCACTGAGGTCAATACCTGATAAGCCCCTTCCAATACCACCCGAACGACCCGAACGATCAGATTCGCTCAGGGGACTCTCACCTGCTCGATTACGTCCTTCTGCAGTATTACTGCCTCACATATGTTCACCGACGCCTACTGAATTCCTACTGACCACCGGCACAAATGAAAACGAAGCAGGTGTGGGAATCTTTGTAAATCTTGATGGAGATGTCGTGAGAGGAACGCTGCAATTCACTCGATATCCTCAAGCCTTAGTCCTAGATGGAAGCGGAATCGAAACCGAGACTGCTGGTAGAGACGAGGATCGCGAAGGTTTTGTGCTTGCTACCATGACTATACCTGGCGACGATAGTGATCGCAACGTCATTGAGATTCAGAGATGGGATGTGGACGATGGCGGAAACAAGGACTTGATTGACATTCCTGACGCTTCATTGACGGCAAATGGCCAGAATCTGGGCACCTGGCCCTCCTCAAAAAAAATTGGACTTCGGACAATCAACACTCCAGTCACTGTTCCATTTCCAGAGATCGGTGAATTATTGCGTGGCAAACGCCTATCTCCTTCAAAAATGAATTCAGCTGCGAACGGCCCACAGAAGGTAGGCTCTGAAAGTCTCCCAGAAGCCTTGGAGATGAGCAGAAACAAGGAAGAGGTTGAATTCGGTCGTCGCCTTGGAGGTCGAATAGGCCGTATTACTCTATGGTCAGGTTCTTCCGTTTGGTGGGTCGTTAAAAACCCACTTGCAACCAGGCTCAATGCTGCCATTGACGAAGTCTTGGAATGTAAATCGCAAGAGGACTCTTGCCATGAAATTGAGCGTAGCCGAATCATCCAGATAGTCAACAGTATCCGGGGACAAGAAGCTATATCAGAGACGGAATTTCTCAGTTTGGAGTATATCCGCCAGAAAGCCAGCTTGGTACTGTTCGCTGATTTAATTGCGCGTCCACTTCCAATGTCTAACGTACAAACAGCTGACTCAAGAATCACCGAAGGAGTGCTTATGGAGGGAAGTGTGGATCCGCGAGTCATACTGATGCTAATACCCGCTCTCCGTGAAGAAATCGTTGAGGGGCAAAAGGGTATCTGGATACATGCTGGATTGATCTCGGTCGTTGAACGCTTCAATTCAGCATTGCGCAAGACCTTTGAGGAATTGGCGACACCCGATTTGCTGAATCTCATCAAACGTTACCTCGGTGCATGGCGACAACGCAAGGGCTTCGGAAGCATTGCTGACGAAGTTGAAATATTCCTGACGGTCGATGCAGCTCTTCTTCGTGTGCTGCTTGAGCAAGATCAAAAAGATCCCTCAAGGATATCGAGGCCTTCACCGACGAGAATTGAGCTCTATGCATTTGTTGATTCCGGTGTAGATTGCTTTAACCATGCAATCACCCTGTTGGAGCAGTACAAGCGTCTGTTTGTCCTGAGCAGGCTGTACCAGAGCCGGAGAATGGCCAGAAAGGTATTGGAAACTTGGAGAAGGATACTTGAAGGCGAACGCGACGAGGGTGGGGGCCTCGCCGATGGTGAAAATGAAGTCCGCAGATATCTGGTGATTATCAAAGACACAGGTCTGGTTGACGAGTATGGCACCTGGCTTGCTAGACGCAATCCCGATCTCGGAGTCCAGGTGTTCACCAACGATAGCAGCAGAGTCAAGTGGGAACCTCAACAAGTCGTCATGCTACTGCGAAGGAAGGCTCCTGACGCCGTCAAAGTCTACCTAGAGCACCTGGTCTTTGGTAAAAAGAACGTGAAATACGCGAACGATCTCATCTCATACTACCTTGACAATGTGCTTCAGGTTTTGGGATCATCTGATGAAGCTCGAGGTGTCCTTTCGCAATCTTACGAGTCTTACAGAGCACTTCGCCCTCCAAAGCCGACCTATCGACAATTCATTACTGAAAACGCAGTCCCTATGTCATGGTGGCATGATCGTTTGCGTCTGCTTGAGCTCATCGGCGGGAGTCATGGATCAGACTTCTCCTACGATGTCGGCAATATACTATCGCGCATTGAGCCATTTGAGCAAGATTTGGTGCCTGAGTCTATCATTCTCGACGGCCGTCAAGGTCGGCATAAGCAAGCCCTGCGTCTACTCACCCACGGGCTTGGAGATTATCATACTGCTGTCAATTACTGCCTGCTAGGTGGAGCAAGTATATTCCATCCAAAATCAGGGTCCGCTGCGATTGCTGCGCCATCTCAAGACGAGCAAGCCATTTTGTTCGGGTACCTTCTTACGGAGTTTCTTCGCATTCAAGACGTCAGCGACAGGTTGGAACGAACGAGTGAGCTCCTAGAGCGCTTTGGACCTTGGTACGATGTACGGGACGTCCTAGAACTTATCCCAGAATCTTGGTCCGTCGAATTGGTGTCAGGCTTTCTGGTCAGCTCCTTTCGGCGGCTCGTTCATGAGAGAAGACAAGCTACTGTTATGAAGGCTCTGAGCGGTGCAGAAAATCTCCAGATCGCAGCGGGATTTGTTGAGAAGTGTAGTGAGCTTGGACCGCAGGTTGAGAAGGTCCCTTGAACACGCAGTACAGAAGCATATACACCGAATATGCTCTCAGAAAAGGCGAAGGACTATGGCAGGAAGTGATAGCCCATCGCTTCATACATCCAAAATGGCCTTCATTATTCGTATTCAAGGTCAGACCACGTCCGCGAGCAGAGCCGTTGCAGAGACCAATTGCATGCATACTAGCGCCAAGAGAAGCTCTTCTTTGCTTCAGATGAGGGGGAGCGATTGTCAGTGAAAGCGCGGAAAGAATCCGAAGAACGGAGCCAAAGGGTATTTGAACTGTAGAGATTCTGTGCCTCCTTGGCCCATCCTGCTCTCATCTGAGGATAATGAAGGTGATAGAAGGGTTTTGAATTCGCCTGGAAGGCTGGGGGCATCCCTCCTTCTCGATGGTGTGTATCTACAAGAAAAAGAATAGGAAGATATTGTACAGACAGCTTTCCAGAGTTTGATGCCCCACCGTAAGACACACAAGCGCCGAGCTTTTCCTGGTCCTGCTCAAGTCCGTTTAACCCCTCAAATGTGTATTCGTGTAATCGTCACCCTCTTCTATAATGACGCGAAAGTAAGGCTGGACGTTTCATAATGGACGATTTTCCGGGCCGGATCCTCTCTATCACCCCGTAGCCTCCAAAGCTGCAGTCAGTGGCAGGACCCTACACTCACCCAATCCCTTGCCATCATCCCATTTCCTGAACGCTCGCCTCATGCCTTCTGGTATATCTTCCACCTCTTTCACATTCGGAGATCCACCCCTCGAGCAAATGACAACAGAGCTTACCGGTACGAACGGCCTATCTTCCGCCGAAGCAGCAAGAATGCTGTATTCTTGGGCAAAGACTAAAGCCGCGCGAAACGCTGCGGATTCTGTGGATTTATGCTGGGGTGCTGGTGCGAGGGAGCGGATGCTTAGGATGCTTAATCAAGCCCAATTAGCGAAGGCTTCTTTCCAGGTTTGGAAGAGGAGTAGAAGAAGCTTACACAAAGATCTCGAAGAAAATATCAAGCACAAAAACTCCATCATCCACGATATCCAATTGCGCAAAGGGTATGATCTCCCGGATCTGCGCCGTTATGGCGACATTCGTGTCTGCAGGCGCACTACCTCTCCTACCCCATTGCATGAATCCTGAGCTTGATTTTGGGCGGGGTGCCTCAACATCGATCCTATATAGCCTCGTTGTGTACTTCTCGCAAGATGGCTTTAGATGCCAATGCCCTGCGCTTGCTCCTTCGGCGGTGCTAGCACATCGCTTTCCTCCCGGAAAAGATTGCCAGAAAGCGTCAGGTTCATGACCCTCATCTATTTCCTCAATCTCGCCACCTAAACCCAAATCCATCCCTATCAGCCTTGCACAGCCTAGCTCGTCCGCGCCAGACCCACCGCCCTTCCATAGATATATTTTCCCAGAGCGAGCTGAGACGATGTATGGGAATCCTTTGCACAGGCTCCGTGGGCTAAAGTCTACTTCGTCAAACGCAATCTGTCCAACATGCTGCCGTCCACAAAGAAGATACGTGGCCGCTGTGCCGGACAAAGACTCCGGGCGACTACCCGATCCACGGCGCGTAATGACGATCCCTCCAAGTGCTTGAAAGAAGTTGGTCGTTTCCTTGCCCTGCTTGAGGATGATGAGCTTGCCATTGTTGTCTTTCGCAACCTTCTTGGCGAACAGCTGGGCATCTTCTATTGAGGAGGACGGAACACCGTCGCCACACCAGAGGTATACTTCTGTGGTACGTGTCCCAGCGAGGGCGCCGAAAACATGGGTGCAGAGGTACAAACGATCCTCGAAGAGAATGTGTTCTTGATGAGAAGGCACAGGAACAGATCTACCATTATCGGTGATCTCAAACACTTGTTTGCGGAGCGTTTTGATTTTCAGTGAGTTGTCGTTGGAGCAGCGCGAGATAAGAATTGCTTGCGTATCGATGCTTATGCTGAGTTTGGAGCTTGGATATTCGTCAAATACTTCGGCCAAGAGGGCGGATACCCCTGGGGGATGGTTTTGGGATGGTATAGTCGGTCGATTAGTGGCTGGAGATGGTAGAGCGATGGTAGCTGGAGAAGGTAGATCGGTGGACACAACCCTATTCGCAATTGAAGCGGGTTTCTTTCCTGGTAATGGGGGAGATTTGGGCGATGGGGTGGCCGGCGATGGTAGATTGCGGTCCAACGATGACTTTGGCCCATAAACGGTGGTCTCGATACCCAATCCAACAGGACCTATACCAGGGCCCTTTGATCTAGGACCCGCCTCTTCCTGACCAGCTTCTTCGTCTTTTCGGGTGGGTAATTTGACTGGCGATCTAGGTTGGAATGGCTGCATAGGCGATCGTCCCCAAACAGCTGCTGCACCTTTGACTGATGGTGTTGGTTTATCAAGCTCCTGAGGCTCGGGTTCGCGCCTTTCCTGATCCCTGACTGATCCAATAGGAACATTGATTGGCTCCTGGTTGGCTAGTCGCTTTAACGGAGTGTCAGGGGGAGGCCCAGGTGTAGCAAGGAAAGAGATAGGTATCTTCGTATCTTTCGGACTCAGATTTAGCTTTTCCTTAACGACCGCGGGAGGCTTGTTCTGCAATGCTTTCCCTGGGCCTGGCGAGACCGGGGGCGAAGTTCTGACATTGGACGACTGATTTATACTTGCCGATGGTTTCCGTGGGGAAGGGGGCAGAGAGGTCTTGCGGTTGTTGTTATTATTATGTGTAATATTGGAAAGAGGTCGCGACTCAGGTTTGTAGACGCCGGCAGGAAGGGTCTGGGATTTCGTGACGTGTATAGGTCCAAGGGGTCTGTTCGCAGCCACCAATAACTTCGACTGAGGCTCAGCTCGAGACAGCGGCGTATCTTTTGCGGCATCCTGCATCCTCGCAGTAGGTAATCGCCTTTTCGGCCCACGTGCTCTGGCTTTGGTTGCGTGCGTTAACGATGGTCCTACTGAAGCTGCCTCTTGATCATTCAGCCTCACTATGGAATCCGAATCCTGTATATCATCCGACGACTGTGCCATGTTCGGCTTGCCGCTGTTGGCCAATGGTGATGAGCCTCTTTGAAGCATACCAGCAAGCGAAGAAGTGAATCCTCCCAGGGTACCTCTGGGTGTCGAGTCTTTCTCCGCGTTTGCTGCGGCGTGAGGCGGTTTGTCTGGAAGCGCCGGTTTTGGCTTGTCTCGCAAGCGCTGTATTTTGGCCAGTGCTTCAGCTTTAGTCGGTTCGCTCGCTCCCTCCACGCCAACGTTGCTGAGAAGGCTCTCAGATCTTGTGAGCCCTTGCCTCTTGGCAATCGCCTCGGGTACGTTATGCTCCTGGAGTCTGGGAATCCCGCTTGTTATCCTTGTAGAGGCCGAGGGGACTACCATTCCCTCTTTCTTTTTCAATATGCTTTCCTTAAACTCATCCTTACGCTCGGTCCTTTTGGGGCCTCCAGTCAGAGCAAGGCCGGCTTTACCACGCAATATATTATCTTTGAGTTCGTCAGGAGCTTTGTAATTCTGCGTATGTGTTCGCTTGAGATTTCCAAACACGTTCTTGAATTCAGACTCATCCTTACTATTTGCTTCTCCAGAGGCTTGCCGCGATTTGAGGGTAGACTTGAAATCGATCTTCGGAGGCGCTTCTGGCTTTAATTTCGCCGCCGTAGGCGACTGCGTACGAGAGCCTAGCTGAGAGCTGTACTTCTTCGCTGAAGGTGAGTCTGCAGATTTCTCGTCGGCTAGTGATATATCGAATGAAAAGCCCTTTGTTCGTACCTCCTTTGGTGGCAGTGTAGGAGATGAAGAAGATTCTCGAGGACCGTCATTGTGATTTGTAGTCTTCGGCGACTCATCTTGTTGGCTGACTCTATCTGGACTACCAGTCCGGGGCCTCACTGCCACGCCTGCACTGAAGCCACTTGGGAGCCCACCTATGCCCGGTGGCTTACAGCCCGTGCCTGGCGGAGGGGAGCGTATTAGTCCACCAGTGGCTACCTCCTTGAAGTTTCCTCCCTTTGACATATCATGGCTTCCGCGCTGCTGTTTTGCTCGATTGATCTCTGCCATCCATGCCGGCTGCTGAGGTGCAGGCGATCTGGCCTTAGAAAAGTCTGGTTTGTTAATGGCATTCTCCAACCAGCTTGCTTTGGTAGGACTCCACTTCTTGCTTGGGCTTGCGGGTGGACTCATCATTGGTTCATTGTCATCCTGTTTTGACGGTGGAGGCGACTTAGTATCTATAGGTGCTGGTTTGGAGACTTCGTCCTGGAATGAGTCGGATTTAAAGTAAGACAAAGGTGTAGAAATGTTTATCCGCTCAGCCTCGATCTGTGCTTGAGTTAAAGTAGCATTACTGTGACTTGATCCAGGCCTGGACGTCGTTTCTGTGGAGTTCTCGCGACTCATACTATTCGGTCTTGATTCCTTGAGTGGACGGATTCCTCCCATTGGGTACCTTGTATCTTCATAGCCTTTGCGGCTACTTGTGATAGAGCTTCCCCTACTTAGACCCGGACCTGCCTGTGCGCTCCACCTTTTACTGACGCTATCTGAGCGCTTCAGCATTGCGCTTTGGACAAATCCTCCAAGACCTTTAGTAGGCGACGCAGGTCGGTCCAGATGCTCTGGAGAAAGACGTCCTTGGGAAGGCGACATTGCCATCGTCCGCGCGATGGACGAATTCTCAACCATAGATGAATTTGTGTTGGACGGGGGATCAAATCTCTGGCTACTCATAGTCGGTAGAGGGGATCGGATGCCTCCAGCGGATGCTAGCGATGCAGAATTTGAGGAGGTGTGGACCAGTCCGGGAATGCCACGGATTGAACCCTCTCGTGATGGCGATGCAGAGCGAACACCGTCAGGGGCCGGACTCGTGCGGTCTTCAGATGCGGCTGTGCTCTCTCCTGACTCCCCTGGCAACCGCTTACTGCCCATCATCGATGCTGTGTCTGATAGATCGTCCTGGTTCCTCCTGAATGCTGCAGATCCAAATCCTCGATCGTGCGTCTGCTTGAACCAAGTGGGGTCTTTTGACCCTAGAGATTGCGAGATCTGGCTGCTGGACATGCTATCATCATTCGTAGGGGCAGGATCTGCAGCTGCACGCGGAGAGTTTGAGGCGTTTCTTTCTGAAGCTACCATGGACAACGGGCGGCTGCTTGAGCCCGTTGATCCGCGTGATGAAGGCCGTTGCTGCCATGAGAGGGTGCCCGCGCGTGAAAGAGCCATTGCCACACTCGGAGAGGGGGTGGAGATTATTTGAGATTTTAACGGTGGCTGCGGAAGCTCTCGAGGCAAATTATCAGATCCTAGGTCGTTGACATTGGTAGGGGCGCCATTTGTCTTACGAGAAATATGGTCCGGGCCAGAGGGACCAGATAGTGGCGGTTGGAAGGATGGGGTGTTGGAGAAGTCTTCTTGGCTCGACATCTCGTTTCCAGAGCGTATGGAGCTTGGAGTACCCGCGTTGGAAGATGTGTCTTTGATGGGCGAGATTGACCTTGCGCGCTCTGTGCAATTGCATTAGCTCAACACATCTTCACCACGCTGTGATGACGGCTCAATGCTCCGCCCTAAGGCTGCAGACCTGCTCTCCTAATCTGCCTCTCCTTGCGCCCTTGTTTAATTTCCTCCTCCAGCTTTCTTGTCCGCTCTTCATCTTCTATGTCCCGCCTTCGCGAAAGGTCGCGAATGCGTAATAGGAAGTCGTTAACATCTTCCGAGCCGTCGATATTGGTGGTGATAGGCATTGTGCGATGTACGTATCGAATGCCTTCTAGCAGCGAGTGTTGATCTACCTGTATAGTACAAACACGGCGCTGGGCAAGTTTTGCTGGTCTTGGCGGTAAGGACAGCGGAGAGGCAAGTTGGAACGGCAGTCACAACAGCATTTGAGTGAAGAGAAGCCCCCATTCATATGGACTCGCCTAGTCCTCACCAAAAATTACAATCGCATTATTCAAAGCTGTCGAACGAAGCCTCTACAAGACGTGGCGTGCGGGCCTGTTTGTTGTGACCCGCAGCTGCTTAGACTTTCTTTTCCCAGTCAGCCTCCCGCCAAGAAGAGCCTATCAGCTCCAGGCGAGTTCTCGGCGTAGCAGGGGTAGCAATCCTCTGATAGCGCCGTATACCATGGCCCATGGTGGCCCTAACCTCGACATTCAATACAAGAACAGTCTGTCTTTTGCGTCCTGGACCACCCATGCCAATCCTTCCTGCAGATGATCCCCCTTGATTGCGCTGCATCGGAGGATGGTCCACTTGTGCGTCTTGATTGCATCGAGTTGCAGTCCCTGGAGATGTCAGTTGTCCTTCTGGTAGTACTCTACGGGTAGAGTACCGGTCTCTTACCTTCCCTATTTCATCATCAGTCATGCAGCCACCCACATCGGTCTTATTGGCGAAGACAAGTAGGCTTGCCCCCATGAGCCGCTACTCGCTAATCAATGTAGTTCGATCAATTGAGCGGCGAAGAAACATACCTCCTCCAGCAACAAAGATCCAAGCTCTTGCCTGCAGTCAGTGATCCGTAGCCGGTCCGTTGCATCAACCACCCAGACTAAAGCGTCTGTCTTTTCAAAATAGTTCCGCCAATAAGTGCGCAGTGTCTTCTGGCCACCTACATCCCCTAGTCCACGTGAAATCGGTCAGACGTCAGTAGCCCAAGGACGATGGGAAATGCCCGTACAAATGTTGAGCCGGTAGCTTCTCATGTAGTCAACGAATGCCGGTTCTTCGATTTGGATCTTGCCATTCACTCACCCATGGTACTCAATGGTCTTTATGATGAACCCAAGTGTTGGACTGACCGTATTCACGTCTTCATTCATCAATCGCTTGACAATTGTGGTTTTGCCGGCATTGTCCAGTCCTCTGATGTCGCATCAGCAGACCTGATTGAATACTTCACAACTTTCCACCTACAGCATCAAAATCCTCATCTCTTTATCCCTCAATCGAGCTTTGCGCAAAATTGAAAGCATTGTACCACTGATATTACTACTCCCGTGGACCCGAATTGTTGCTTAGGGCGGTTCGGAGGAAATTTAGAGATGGGAAGCGGCTCACCTTCACTTCGCTTGCTTTCCCACCAGTGTCCTGGTTGATTTGATGCTTGCTTTACTAGACCTACCCGTAGATTTTCATATTTTCCTATGACCTCGCATTTGATCATACTGCAATTGGTCTTTCGGATGAATGTTCGTCTTTGGCTATTTACGGCGCCACTCCATCCCCAGCAGCAACATTCATCCCTCAACACCTGACGTATAGCCACAAGACTCTTTCTGGATCCCTCGCTCATCCTGCTGCACTACTGTAATCGAGGGAAGAGACTGCCATGCGTCATACTGCAGACACTGAGTCGGCAGCAGCGCTTTCAGCAGCAACAACGCTCAGTCTGCGAGACCGGATGGACGCTACAGAAGCATTGACCGATTGTCGTACGCCTTTCCAAGATATTGTGGGCTTGGCTAAGGACCGGTTTGCAAGTTTGGGGGAAGACATGCGCTTTTCGGAGGTCTTTGCTGAGGTAGAGTTGCAACAAAACGGCAATGGTTTGATGAATCATAACTCGGAGGTCAACAAGCTGTTAAATCCTGCCAGCGATGGTCGTAACCCAATTCCGGAAACCGAAAAAAGCAATTCGAGTCCGCAAAGCCGCAGACTTCTAGAACAAAGCAATGGCTACAGAATTCACTCTTGTTATGATATGATAACAGGCGTCGGGGTGGTACACGTGGACGCAAGACGAGAGGGGGGTGCAGGAGCAAGGCAAAAGCGCAAACCAACGACCAAGAGGCGGAGATGTACTCGAAATCATCCTACCAATCCCTTGCAGTCTGCGGCCATAGGTATTGTTAACACCACCGTCAGTGTCCCAAACTGACCTTCGAGGCATCCGCCCGCCGTCCCTGTAGTAGCAAAGCAAAATGCGCCAAGTGTCACAGAAACGCAGGCAACTGGAACAAGTTCAACATGGCAGAGCTCGGACACCCTTTTGAGGAAGAAAGCTGCCCCGTGTACCGACCTCGAGCCGGCAAATACTGTCCCAACGTCATGCTCGGTAGGGAAATGCACATCTGCTGGCAGGCCCAGAGAACACTCTATGCCGGAAAGCCCAGCCCTGGGACTTCTCCAACCAGCCGTTGGCAACATCACAGATGGCTTTACTCCAAGCTCTCGAAAGCAGCACAACAAGCAAGGCGCACGGCGACAGGATGAGGCCAAAAGTAGGCAAGATAAGAATACTCCTGCAAGTAGAGAATCCTTGAGAACAAATATCGAGAGCATGCCAGGGATCGATGAGAATATCCAGGACCTCATTGCTACATATTTGGTCAAGGCTCAGAATGTAAGAACTCCAGATAGCGACATGAAAGCAGGATCATCGACAAAATCCGTTCCCGAGAGCTCCAAAGACTAAGCTATTCAGGTGGCTGGCAAGAGCGTAGGTGGCTCCGTGTGGAGAAGATTTAGAATGAAGAAAAAGGGGCATTTGAATAAGAAAAGCGCGATGTGATTGGAAGTAAGGAAGTCTTGGCGCGGTCCCAATTTGTGAATGGCGTAGACTCTTCACCTCTACACGCTTCTTCTTCCACCATCACCCACAACAACAATCGAGATCACCTTAATCACTCTCCAACAATAACTTATCATACTACAGACTTGCCTGCACAAGCAAAGCACATTCAACATTGAGACACAATGAGTAACGCCGGCTCAACTCGTGGTCATGGCGGTTCTCATCGAGGTAACTTTCAGCTCACCTTCCCAGCCAACATCTAATATAACAACGACTGATCGACTATACAGGCAGGACTTACCGAAGGTCTTCCAACAACGAAGCACTTCCTGATGCCACCATATCAGTCTTCCAAAGTCAGCGCACCCCAAGTGTCGGTTCTAGTCGACGCCATCGTGGCTTTCAGCCAGATGAAGTGAACAAAACAAAAGAAGAACCTGGGCTTGGAGACTCTGCAATTACCCAAAGTAGTGACAATGCGGAGACTCTGACCGCCAGCGATAATCAACCTAAAGCTTCTGCTACAATCAACAAGCTGGCGTCTACAATGACTCCAAGATCGACTGAACCTCTTGCCCCTCACCGGCGAACTCAGGTCAAAGACAAAAACCCCGATCATCAACCATTTACTCACACACAAGTGACAACGACGGACGCGTCTCATCCGGAGCTTGATTCCGTGCCTTTCCGTGGTGACTCCGAGCATATTGAGAGCAACACCTCATCCATCCAAATCATCACTGAGCGGAAGCCCTCATGCTGGTCGATTGCAAGTCCACCTGAGGCTCCGCTCACCGAGTGGAACAGTGCTGCAGCAAACATCGATAGACCAGCCAAGACAATTTTGCCGACCTATCGGATGCCAAAGTCAGAGCACACGGCAGGGCTCGAAACTGTATCTAGTTCTTTCAATCGACAACAGGCTAAGCTCAACCCACAAGCGACCGGATCCATGCCAAAGACGCAAAAGTCTCATGAGATGGCAGGGTCACCACGCCTGGTAATCTCAGAGAAAGATGAAGTTCAAGCTACAGCCCGTGTTGCTTCTCAGGAAGAAGGCTATGCTACCGACTCGTCGCACCACCAACTCCAGCAGCTACAACATGATGGGCGACTCGATGCTGAACAAGTCCCAAAGGCGAAAGCAGCTCAGGAAGAGGTGCTTGCGAGAACCATGCAGGTCTCATCCGGAGTTCAGCGGGAGAGCGACAAATTGAAAGCTTCTTGTCCTTCTCAAGACACATCGGAGGCAAAACTACTTCATGTGAAAGAGAATAGCATTGCCTCATCTGCCGTTTCTTCTCCTCAAGCAAAGATTAATGAAGTCCCCATCCCGCCAGGGAAACAGAGCGTTGCAGCCCTTCCGCACCTCAGAGTGCAATATGCTCTTCCTGGGTCGGACAACAAGAGTAAGCCTCTCCCACCTCACCTAAGAGGTTCGGCTAGTCCTACTACCACTACTGCCACAAAAGCAACCGCTCATGACGAAGAGCTCAAGCCTGGAAAGCATGCGATCTCTGCAATGCAGGATAACAGAGTTCCGCCTCACCTTCAGGGTCTATCTGCGGCCAAGACCCGAGCGACGAAATGTACCCTTTCAGTCACAACTCCATCACCGTCTCAAAAGAAAGATGACAGCTACCGACCAACGATCGACATGGACGAGGAGATCGCTGCAACTCAAATGGTCCTCGATATAGATGAAGAGATTGTTGCAGGTCTACATGCAGAAACATCTGCCACATCTCCTGTAGCTCAGCCCACCGATAGCAATGCTCAAAAGACCACCGAGCAAGTTATCTACGTCCCGCCCCACGCTAGGGCTTCATCTTTGAGATTGAAGGCATCTGCAGCCGAGTCGAATTCCAAAGCCACCGATAAGGGCGCGAAACCACAAGCCGATCAACATGGGGATGGTAATTACAGCACGAACACGAAGTCAAAAGGCCCCACAATGGGACCTTATGCTGGCGCCCTTCAGGAAGTAAACAGTATGCGGAAGAATGTCAACTTGGCGTCTCCATCGAAAATTAGTGCTGCTCCGAATCGTGGGGAGTATTCAGTCAAGAAAGGCAAGAAGCAAGCAAGAGAGTTCGAGTCGGTCGATTACACTTCAGAATTAGTTGGTTGGGATGGCAAGATGAGCCAGCCACCTGTAGGTGACGAGTGGAATCGCCGTCGGCCCTTCAATACTCAGAGCCATGAGCGCCTCTCGGTCATTGAATTATGGAGAGAGGAACACGCTGCAGATCCGGAGAACAATCGTGTGGTCGTCAACACGGCAAGCGCTGATTTCCAAACCGGGGAGGGCTTGGCTGGAGGCGATGTGAACGTGCTAAGCCCCATTGACAAAATGGACCATGAAACTCATAGCCCCAATGATGACTTCACCCAAGCACGTCGCCACCAAAACGCCGCAGAGGCTATGAAAAACTACGAGGCCAAGATCGCGGCCAGACCACAGACTACGCCTTCTGGCATAAGGGGCATGACAAGGGAAGAAAAGCGAGCCCTCCGACGTTTACTCATAGAGGAAGAGAGAACAAGAGTGATCCCACCTAATCCACATGCTCCTGTCGCCAACATATACCTTCGCCCGGCTGAATTCAAGGACATGGGCCAAGTTATGAACATTTACAACCACAACGTGCGTGAGACAAGCTTTGTGCCTCATCTGGACCCTGTCGAGGAGTTGTACTGGCGCGGTCGTCTACAAGAGGCTGAAAATGAGAGGAATCCTTTTGTTGTTGCTATCCACATGGGAGAGATATCTTGTCGCCACCAGGCAGATATAATTCGGAAGAAGCAAGAAAATGTCGTCGGCTTCAGTGTCGCTGCCGACTTCGGGACCAAAGACACGATGTACCACAGCAGTGTCGAGCTTGAGCTCATGGTCCATGCAGACTTCTATCGCCAAGGCATTGGACGGACGTTAATGGATCGTATACTTGCAGCTTTGAGTCTAGATCACATCCTCCTCGACTGTGCTCCTTTCTTGCCTCGCAACGACATCTCTTATTGGATGTCTGGCGGCAGTCGTCAAGCTAAGGCAATTATGGTCAACATACTCTATTCCGATGGCGAAGAGGATCCTGTTACTTGGCGCAAGCAGTGGTTGGCTAAGTACGAGTTCCAGCATGTAGGCACATCGCCTCATATTGGCTTCAAGACGGGCAAGCTGTAAGTCATGCCCAAATGTTTCTTGAAAGAAGGAAATCTCGCTGACCTCTGATCAGGGTGAACATGTGCCAGCTCGTGCTGAACACTAGCGTACGACTTTGAGAAAGGGAAAAGATGACAGACGATTCTAGACGAGGATTCTCGGAATCTGGTGTTCTACCTTGGAGCAATTTTTGATAGAATGAAGGATTGATTTCCTGGGCGAAAGCTTTCTTAGCTCAACCACCCTCACAGTGGTTTGGTTGGTGTAAAAATTTCTGGCAGCATGTCCGTGACAACGGATCTCACAAAAGCTCTTGGATCTAGCCAAAGTCATCTACGGCTAACCCGTCTTCCATGACGACGCTGTCTATGGCTCACCTGAGGTCTTCAGCTTGCCACACTTTCCTTAGACAGCGGTCTTTACAGGTCATTCAATTTCCTTTTTCTTGTATGCTAGCATCAGATAGACGAAAAAATATCCTCTCTCTTCCCTCCAATCCTCTCTAATCCAAAAGGCCAGATTGATGCATCAAATAAGAGACCTCAACCACCTCCGAGACTTTGGAAAGAGCTACAGGAAGCTTTCGCACTTGACTTGAGCAATAAGGCAAGCCGTCGGTTTTTCTGTTTTGCCAATGCCAGAGGAAGTGGCCATCTTGGAAACCGGTTCTACTTACACACACAAAGCAATAGGTAAAGCCAAAAGAACTTAGAGATCAAAGTGTAATGTATGAGAGTTACAACAGAGTGTTTGAATACGGAACCTCCTAAGGTAAGGTATCTTACCTTTGCCATTCTCCACTGGCACCTGGTGCCACGAAAGATATGTAGGGCTGCCGGCTGAACCTCGGCCCAGGTGATGTTCAAAAAGTCCGCATTCAAGCTCCAAGAACTCGTAGAATATATTGGACGATTCTCCTTGCATGATGAAGTCAAGCGGTGACGATGATTTCGTTCAAACAATTGATGATGATCAGTTCTACCCGCTAGGAGAGGAAGAAGACGAAGATCTTATCCATCAGGCCCCTTCCCAATCCGCCCTGAATGGCAATAAACGCAAGCGCGACCTTGACGAAGGCCAGAGTCACGCCAATGATACTGCGCTGGGAGAAGACAAAGGAGCGAAGAATAAGAGACGGAAAGAAGACACCGTACCCATACAGGTTGGTGCCGCAGAGCCAGTCGAAGACGACGAGACATGGACTGCGCACGGCGAGGACGACGGGGCGATGAATTCAGACTTCGAATTTCAGATTGGGGATGTGAATACAGGGGTCACAGAAAGCTTTGATGGGTGGGACATGAATGGCAGTATTACGGCGCCTGCAGTGCGTGGGGATGAGAAAGGAGTGGATATTGATGAGCTTATTGCAAGAAGGAGGAAAGAAGTTGCGAATGAGCAGACTAGGTTAGATGTCTCCATGAGTGATGAGGAGGGAGATGTTGAACCCGAACACGAGGATGAAGTAGATTTTGAAGATGGGTTCGACGTGCAGGACGAGGAAGACGATGAGACTTTGGCAGATGATGCTTTTGGCATGGGAGCGCTAGCTAGCGAAGAGGACGATTGCGAGGACGACGGAGATGAAGATCAGGATTCAGTGGCCAGTTTTGATGATGAGTCCGTTGCCGAGCCCGTACCCCATCCAAACGACATTGAACAGGCATCTTCCCTTGAAGAGATCTATGACCTGGAGGAGCAAGCCCGACGAGAAGCTTTTTTCGCACCTGAAGAGAAAACCAGCAAAGTCAAGGCCAAAGGCTTTGCTTCGGGCTCGTTTCAAAGCATGTCCCTTTCAAGGCCAATCCTGCGGGGCCTAGCAGCAGTTGGCTTCTCAGAACCCACACCAATCCAGACAAAAACGATCCCAATTGCCCTCGAAGGGAAAGATGTTGTAGGTGGCGCGGTGACAGGTTCTGGTAAAACAGCAGCTTTCATTATACCCATCCTAGAAAGACTCTTGTACCGGCCGAAGAAAGTACCCACAAGCCGAGTCGCAATCCTAATGCCCACGAGAGAACTTGCGGTGCAGTGCTTCAATGTAGCGAAGAAACTTGCCAGCTTCACGGATGTCGCTTTTTGCCAGCTTGTTGGAGGCTTCAGTTTGCGGGAACAGGAGAATGTGCTAAGAAGTAGGCCGGATGTTATTATTGCTACGCCTGGACGCTTCATTGACCATATGCGAAATTCGGCCAGCTTTACTGTGGATACGCTCGAAATTCTGGTGTTGGATGAAGCAGATCGAATGCTAGAAGATGGGTTCGCGGACGAGCTGAATGAGATATTGACCACGATACCCAAGTCGAGGCAGACCATGCTTTTCTCGGCTACCATGACAGACACTGTCGACAAGCTCATCCGGGTGGGTTTGAACAGACCAGTACGACTGATGGTAGATGCAAGAAAGCAGACTGTGGGAACCCTCGTACAGGAATTTGTTCGCCTACGTCCAGGCAGAGAAGGTAAAAGACTAGGCTACCTGATGTATCTATGTCAAAACATCTACACAGACCGAGCCATAATATTCTTTCGGCAGAAAAAGGAAGCCCACAGAGTCCGCATCATTTTCGGTCTTTGTGGCATCAAGGCTGCTGAACTCCACGGTAGTATGTCACAAGAACAGGTAAGCCTACTTCTTCATCCATACATATCAAGTCCCGGCTGACAACCGTATCAGCGTATTTCTGCCCTCGCCTCCTTCCGTTCATCCCAGTGCACCCACCTCCTCGCCACCGATCTCGCCTCCCGAGGTCTCGATATATCCAACATCTCCACCGTGATCAATTACGAAGCGCCCCAATCCCACGAAATATACCTACATCGAGTCGGTCGAACAGCGCGTGCCGGCCGAGCTGGTAGGTCTTGCACCATTGCTGCGGAGCCGGACCGTAAGGTCGTCAAGCAGGCTGTCAAGAGCGGAAAGGCACAAGGTGCGAAGATCTTTAGTCGAGTTGTCGAAGCTAGGTTGGCAGATGAATGGGCGAAGAAAGCCGAGGATCTAGAAGGCGAAGTAGAAGCGATACTCAAAGAAGAGAAAGAAGAAAAAGCCCTCGCTGGCGCCGAAATGCATCTCCGCAAAGGAGAGAATATCATGGAGCATGAACCGGAGATCAAATCAAGACCCAAGCGGACATGGTTCGAAAGTGAAAAGGAGAAGCAGATCGCGAAGAAGAGTGGCCAGGCTGAGTTGAATGGGGCTGTGGAGCAGGGCAAAAAGAAGGTCGGGAAGCTGAGTGGGAAGGACAAGAAGATGTTGGATGATAGGAGGGAGAGGAAAGAAGGGAGGGTGTGGAAGAAGGGAAAAGGGGATGAGAGGGGTGGTGTTGCGGGTAGAAGTAAAGGGAAGGAGGGGAGGAAAGGGAAGGGTGGAAAAGACAGAGGGGGGAAGGCGAAAAAGGTCAAAGGTGGTGGTGGTGGAGGGAGATAGTCATTTGTAGATATGGATGAGGATGATGAATCATTAGATATCCGAAACATAATGGAATGCCGCCGTGAAGTCGTAATGCCTCCATCATGACTATACAATCCCTGCTTTCTCGACGTCAGCCGTCTCTCACTGATTGATGCGTCGTCAAGTGGCCTCCCACGATAAAGTGCCATCCAGAGCATCGACGCCATACCGCATGCAGCTACTACCTCGTGTCATATCTCCTCAGTTACAGGGCCAGAAAAGGGCATAATTCATAGAATCCCCGTTCAAAAATCTGCCCCTCACATAGCATGCCCATATCCACTCCCATCATAAGCCCCATAAAGCCCACCACTCCTATCCCCAACATGCGCATCTCTCTTGCTCCCATCTCGCGCCAGGTTCATATGCATGATCGCGTCCTGCCGCCAATCATCATCACCGGCGATATCATAGTGGTCCGATGAGCTGGCGGAGGGTGTATGGCTCGGTCCACCCGGTCTTGTTCTCGCATCGCGTTGGGAAGCGCTTTGAGATTGAGACTGTGGGTGCCGTTGCTGTGATGGGAGAGACCATAGGTCGCCTTCGGCCTCGCGGGCGTGTTGGGAGGTAAGGGTTGGTTTGGAATCGTAGCGGGCGGGAGGTGGTGGGGCCTCGGAGACGAAATCGAAAGAGGGCTTGTCGGGATTACCGAGCACAGGGTCAGGATCGTGATTGGCGGTGTAGCCTGCGTAGTTAGGGTAGTGCTCTGGAGATGGTAGGCCGGTGTCGTTGTGGGATGGAAGGGAATCATTTCGTGGATTGTATGCTTGGGAGGATGATTCCTCCCCATTGTCGCTATTGTCGATTCTGGATGAGAAATGATTGTTGTTGCGGGATTCAGTGGGCGTATCGTCCCTGTCTTCTTCAGCTGGTGGAAGGGGTGGGGACTCGACTATCGAGCTTTCGTAAGTTGCTGGCATCTCGGAGATGCCTGTGGGTAAGATAGCATAGTCCTGCGCTTGCTGTTGCGCCTGATTCGTCGGCGGTGCATTGACAGTCTCAACATTCTTTAATGAGCTACCCACACCGACGACACTTCCCAGCATACTCCTTGGCTCTGCGACCTCAGTGATCTGGCTATCAGCACCATCCGTATCTCGAATACCGAATTGTGCTATGGTTCTCAATTTCCTGGTGACCCAGCTGGCAAGGATCTTGCCGCGTTGCTTCTCGCCGAGGCGCGAGCGTGGGAAGTCGCCTTTCGTGACGAACGCAACAATGTCAACGACAACTTGATGCTCATTTAGTACAGCGTTTACGATAACGGGGACGATGGAGGCAAGATAGGCTTTTCGAACGACTTCGACGAGGACAACGACAAGGCCGCCTGCTTGGAAAACCGCGCTAGGAAGCAACTGTTAGCACTTCCCGCAGAAGCGGGGACGAGCTCTGAATGAAAACTTACCAGCCATTGGTCACTATGTTTCGGTGACACTTCTCAATCGAGTGCTCGATGTCCATCGGGAAATGGCTCAATCCATTGACCTCGAATGTCTCACCAATGCCGCCGAGGACAAACAACACCTGCATCTCCACCTGTTGACCTCCGGGACCAATAGGCCGGACGACGTTGTGTAGGAAACCTAGATCGCCTGTCCTTACGTACGTAACATGAGGATCTCCGTCGACCGTTCGGCCATTAAATCTTTCAGCGTCAAAAGCATCTTTAGATCCATAGAAAGACTTTACGCAGGCTTCAGACTGCACCCAAATTTCCCCGTATTCGCCAATATGGCAAAGTCTGCAAGTTTCAGGGTTAACGATCGCGATTTGAGTGCTGACGGGTACCATCCCAGAATCTTGAATCAGGAGAGCAGAAGGATCAGTGTCAGGATCGACAGGGTAGACGAGTCCTCGGCGGAGAGCTCGTGTGTCGAGCCACAACTCTATTGGCTCGATGCACATGTACGAGCGTGAGGCGACCATAGGGTTGAGGACATGTGAGTAGATGGTGTTGATGGCTGTCCTATCAAGGCCAGTCCCTGCAAAATGTAGGCGGACTTTCTGGACTGCGTCTGATCAGCATGCGGTCTAGACCAACGTGGGAGCTAATAATCACTTACAGACATCAACCCTTGGCCTGCCTTCGGTTGAGATCATCATGTTCTTTAGCTCATGAAGTGCAAAGCCTTTACCAGGCATGGTGTTCATCGCGTGGTCTAGCATTTGCCCAGTAGCGTAGGTATCCTTGATCTTGTACCTTGATAGAGTGAGGAACAGAGACATGGGATTAGAAGCAAAATCGACAGGCGAGACAAGGTAAGTAGGTGCTCCTGTAGAGATGTTAGCAGCAGGCCAAGAGCTGGACAGAGCAGCAACGTACCAACAAAGACGCCCATCAAGCAGGTATGAACAAATCCCAATCCCATCGTACTTCTCACGCATCCAAGGACTGGCCTCGAGCTAGTCATCTGGCAGGTCTCTTTTTGTACTTTACAGGTACCCATGATCGTATCATGACCAAGCTGTACCGCTATGCGTCGTTGATCAGGCGTCCAGTATGTCCAAATTAAAACAGGATATTTGGATTGTATCCAAGCAGGCTTCATCGTGAAGCCTAGATCTCGACATCCGCTTGACTGCTTCGGTGGCTTTGCAGTGTTGTAGTATGGAGGTACGCCAACTTTCAGGACTTGTGCAGACTGCTTGATATGCTGAGAGACTATCTTTTGTTTTAATAAGTGATCGACTTCTGCATTCACGATGACAGCCTTGACGCGGAAGTCAGCAATAATATGGAGGAAAGCAGGTGCATCTTCGTTCATGCGGTTCTGATCGAGCGGCGCGATTGGGATGGCCACAGCTCCAAGACAGAAGCAAGCATGGACTGCGTAGACGAATTCTTCTGAGTGTGTATACATCAAAATGAGGTGATCTCCTGGCCTGACTTTGGCCTTGTTCTGGAGGTACAGAGCCACCGCCGCAACTTTTTGGTCGAACTTCTTCCAGTTCACGCCTTTTCCCTCCTTGCCGCGGCCGTCGATAGTGCAATAAGACAGTTCCTCCGCTTGCCTTGCTACGCGCCATTGTAGCAGATCAACAATACTTGAGAAGTTGTTCAACGGCGTCGAGGTCCTGTCGTCAATAACTACCTCTCGGTAGTCAACGCCAGAGTATTGCTTGTCCTGATGCTGTAGAATTTCTTGCCTGGCTGTAGTCGAGACTTGCGACCAGATACCGCCAACAGGGTCAACGCCCACAGGCAAGTTCAACACAGCTCGCTCGACACCAAACTTGACGTGTACGCAGGGCAAGGAACCTAAGTCGAATTCTTTCCGGCACAGCATATTGCCAATTTCTCGCCGACCATTCTTCACAACTCTTGGCAAAGTGTTTGGAGCTGTGATCATAACACAGTAGACTCGCACATGATGCTCTTGGTACAGAATTTCCATGCATCGCTCGGACAAAGAGTCTAGAAGTGCAGTGTCGAGCTGTCGAGGCGGTCCTCCAGAAGTCGTAGGCGCCGTAGAAGCAGCATGCGATTCAAGCAAGACAATTGGTAGATGTTCATCATTCGAATACACATCAAAGGCGGTACAATCGTAGATCTTGGGTACATTCTTCATGATGCTGATGATGAGGTGTTGAACGAAGAAATAGCGGTACTCTGCTACCTCCATACCGTGCTCCACCCATTCAACCTTCTGCCGTAGGCGATCTTCGTAGAGTCCCAAGATGAAAATCTTGCCATCAATGACGCATCCGAGCAACCCAGTTCTAAGAAATTCTGGCTCAACAGCCATTGGAGTAGGATTGCCTTCCTGGAACTTGTATGGTCTGGCATGGAAGATTGTTTCAGTGTGCTTAGGCAATGCCCAGAAACCACCTGACAGGGAGGGAGAGTCAACCCAGATCTCTCCGATGACATAGGGAGTACAAAGTAGGCTCGTTTCAGGGTCTACAACTGCCAAAGTCGCGTCCGGTATCGGGTATCCAAAAGCTCCAACTCGGACCGTACCCGGCTCGTTGCCTGCTCGTCGTCTGGCTTCATCACCCATGGCCACCACCACCACCTCATTTGTCTTTAACGACTCTTTGTCCAATAGGACTTCACTCAGCTCTGTTCGTGCTTTCGGGCCCGCCGGCTTCTTCGGACCTCCACCAATCAGACTACCGTATGCGTTCCCTGGTACAACCACCTTGGCATCTTTTTTCTCGTCATGACTCTCATCATCGTCAGAAGAATGCGTTCCCAGTGAACAACCCATCCGCTCTTCGCCACCGAGCCAATCACGTACGCTTATTACCATACCACCGTGTTCTGGAAGACAGAGCATGGGAGCCACAAGTTCACGCGCTCTTGTATTCCTCAAAGGTCGAAGCCACCTGTCTGCTAAAATTTCATGAAACTCGCTGTCGACTGTCAGGGTGTCAATCAAACATAATTTAACACTCGAGAAGTTGGGCTCAAATTTTTTCATATAATTGCGTGTCGTCATGGGGTCTGCCTGATAATTGTATGCTGCACGTTTCAGACCTGGATAGTCCGCAATCATCAACGTTGCTTTGTACTTGGTGATTAAATTCGCGTAAAGACCAGGGGTCTCAACCGCCCGAGCCTCCATCCAAACGGTAGTGTGGCCGCCATAAATGGTGAAGAGCAGACCCAATATTAGACCGATGCTTTGTCGAGGATCGAGGTAGCTCAACAAGATCTCCCCCACGTTTGATCCCGTCATGGGCCGTCCTGCCTTGTCGCGAAGATTTGGATTGAAGGTATCGTTGCCGTTGGTAGGTATGGTCTGAAGCATGGAGCTGAGGCAAGCCATCTGGTGCATGATGGTCCTATGGCTCATTACAACACCTCGAAGGTCGCCTGTAGGAGCTCTAGAGAATTCGATGTATGCGAGATCGGGAACGATCAGAGGTGGTATTTCGTCCTTTTTCTTTGGGTGGAAGCTTCCAAATTCATTCGTTTTCCACCACTCTACTCCTCTAGGCCAATTCAGCTTATTAGCTGTTATATCTCGTTGGAAAGTTTTCAGATTCACATCAGTGGTGAGCGCTAGGTGCGCTTGCGTCGTCGTGAGAATCACATTCAGTCTATGATAATCTGAGAGGTTGGTAGTCGAGACGTCGAAATCATTAATTGGAACAGCCACAACGCCAGCAATAAAACAGCCCATGAAGGCGACAGCGAAGTCTATAATTTCGGAATCGCGATATATCAGAGCAACGCGGTCTCCTCTGTATAAGTTACTCTTGTCTCGAATAACTTGTGCGACCTTTTCCGCCCTGCTCGCCAATTTCTCCCAAGTAATAGACGAGAATTCTTTGCCTTTTTGGTCCAGCACCCAGTATGCAGGCTGTTTAGGGTTTGTGCGAGCTCTATGGCGTAAGACGGTGGCTATATTGTCGAACTTTGACATTGGTATGTTGCTGTTATGGGGGTCATAAACAGCGAACGGAACTTCTCTCGGCTCCAAGGGTAGTTGGTGGTTCAAAGTACCAAGCAGGGGTAGATCACTGTTACTCAACATTGGAGGTGCAATGTTCGCTGTTGGGGAGAATGTATCGGCAGTGGAGTATCGTTGTGGTCCACCTCCATAGCTATCGCGCTGAGCTTCATGCTGATCGCCTGCGAAGTCTGAAAAGTAGGCTTGATCTAGCATGGTTGACTGCCTGGTTTGACTGCCACTCCCGTAGTCCCCTCCTTGTTGCCCACCGTAAGCGTCGTCGTTTGCAGGATTGAATACGTATTGGCCGTCACTTCGGCCTTGTTCCTGGCTTGGTCGTGAACTGTATGAGCCTTGTCCACTCGATGATGGCCCTGGGCTCGGATTTCTGACTCCCAGTTGTCCTCCTGGGTAGCTGTTTTGGCCATCCATTGCCGCCTCCGAACCACCCATCCTTGCGCTCGGCTGGGCCACAGCAGGCAGAGGTGAAAGTGAGCGCTGGGTAAGCGCAGCGAAAGAGGCAGCACGCGATCCATCATTGGCGGGATGAGCAGTATCGTCCGGGGAGTGCAAGCGCAGGCCTCGGGCGGATTCACCAGGTGGCGCGAGGTACTGGGAAAGGATGAGAGTTCGCCTCTTCTGGTACCCCTTCTGTGTGATTTCCCCCTCTTCAAGCTCGACATCTAGCTCCCTCAATTTCCCCTGCAACTCTGGATTCTCCTCTGCCATTGTGTTTGCGCCTGGCCAGCTAGAAAGTTCCGGAAAGACAGTGAGGCCTCAAGGTGGGTTTGTTCGTCTCGCAAAGCATCGAGCAGTCGAACGGCATTGGCTTTAATGTGTAGCGCATCAATCAAGGCAAAGAACGAGCGAAATGGCCTTGAAGGTACTCTAGAGCTCTCCTCTCGAATGAAGCGTGCCTGCGCTTACTTGTACTTTATGGTGTTTGAAGAGAGACGAATCAAGCTTTGAGTATTCTTGGCAACCGCGGAATTTAGGTCTTTATATCCGCACCCTAATCGTGCCCCCATCGCTGCGCTCATAGTGGTCCCTATCTCACTCGAAGACGCATCAGATTTACATACAAATCTGAATATCGTACAGTCTTATTTCACCATCACAATTATATTATAAAACACCTAGCGTTCAGCATTCTCCTACCAAACATAGTCGCTTGTTACTCCAGCTTTTTGAAGAATAACATCCATATAAATACGAATTTTACGAATTTTGCATGCGACGATATTTGACACTACTACTCATAGCGAACGGTGGGGCCACGATTACTTCCCAAGATTTCAGGATTCCGTCAGTGACCAGTGACCCAGTCTCAATCTGAGCCGGTCAGTGTCATAATCATGCCAAAATCAAGATCAAAGCAGATCCAAACAAGCAAGCAAACCTGCCCGTCTTTGTGGTACAACAGTAGGTCTGCTGGGTGAAAAATTCATTGCAAAAGAAAGGTGAGGGAACGGATTTGTAGAACACAGATATTAATACGAAGTATCTTATCAGAACTGCCGAACTTTTCATTTTCCTTCGGGTCCAACACCTCCGTCATTTCATTTACCACTTTTTGTTATTGACTTGTTGGTGGTGTTGGTATCATGGCCACTCCATTTGCTCTCCCAGCTTTTCTCCTGTCCACTTCAAATACGTACAACTTTGCTACACCTGGATCGAAATCCTCCGGCGTCAATTGCGGCATTGGCCATGTCGGCCCCTTTGGACTACCCAGCACATACCCTTCCCAGTCTCTTCCAGCGCCAGACTACCTGCCAATCCAGCCTCCATGATGCTGGCGAGGCCAGTTTCAGCTCACGTCCATATAGACCTTTCAATCTAGAAAAAGCAGAGACTGCTGAAGATACCCAAAGGGGCAATAGCACCGGGGCATTTAGAGCGACCAGCAGCGGTCGAATATCTCGCATTCAAGCCTGGCACAGAGACGTGCATTCTTTGATCATGCTCTGTCGCACGTCAAAACATCCGCAGATGTCCTCGTTGACTTCGATGGCCCAGACTAACCATACAGACCGATCAACTGGCCTTTTAGGAAGAAGGTGATCACGACAGTATTATATGCCTTCACCACGGCAAGTTTCTTCTCCCTACTTCCCCGCTCTATTATTGGTACAATCTCTGAGGCGTAAGGCAAGCCGCGAAGTAGACTGACTACCAAAGCGTTTGACGACTCGTTTTGCTTTCCCCGATGATAGAGACTGACGTAGAAAACTCTAAGATGGGTAGCACATGGGCGAGCAGCGTATACTCTCCTGCAATCGATCAAATTTCGGAACAGTTCCATGTTGGGACAGAAGTGTCTCTACTCGGATTGAGTGTACTACTCTGTGGTTTTGCTATTGGACCTTTACTTTGAGCCCCATTGAGCGAAATGTTTGGCCGCAAGCCGGCAGTCTTGATTCCGTACTTCCTTGCACCGGTCTTCTCATTCGGAAGAGCCACGGCCAAGGACATTCAGACCATCATCATCACTCGATTCTTTGCAGGCCTTTTCGGATCGGCGCCCGTAACAAACACAGGTGGCGTGCTAGGGGACATCTGGGATCCAACGCAGCGTGGAACAGCTATAGTCGGGTATGCATTCGCGGTGGTGGGAGGCCCAATCGTAGGACCTATCGTTGGTGGCGCTGTTTCCAGAGCTATCTTCGTTGGCGCTGGACAGAGTCCCTCACTGGTATCTTCATGCTGGCTATTCTCACCCTGGATGTTCTTACACTCGACGAGAGCTACCCATCAAGGCTTCTGGTCTACAAAGCAAGAAGACTACGAATAAACACTGGGAATTGGGCATTGCATGCAGAATTCGAAGAATGGTGTACGTATTTTCGGAGTCCATCTCTTCTCTTTTGGTTTGAGTCTTGGGACATGTCTTGGGAGTCTGTGTTCTCCATACATGTTCCAAGGCTCGATATACCCGCTCAAAAAGGCAACACTGACTGCGAAATTGGTCCAGTGTCTCCTTGAAAGAGATGGCCCTAAAATTTGGTTCGTACATTTCGGAGAAATTTCTTCCTTTTCAATGCCGAATTCGGAGTTGCAAGACAAATTCCCGGAGCAGAAGGCTTTTGCTACTCCCGAGCCCTATCTTGCGAGTCTGGGTTTTGCCTTGGAAAGCAATGCTGACTCCGAAATATGCGCAGGTGTACGACCCTTCCAAGTGCTGTTGACGCCGATTTGCTTCTCTGTGGCATTGTACGCTTCCTTCGTTTACGGTATTCTGTATGCCAATCTTGCAGCATTCCCCACTGAGTTCGAGGAGGAACGCGGCTAGAAATTGCTCGTGGGCGCGCTGCCTTTCCTTGCCCTTTTCGTTGGTATCCTCCTGGGGGGGGTCTGCGAATGTGCTGAATCAGAGCTACTACAATCGCCGCTTTATCGCAGCCGGCAACAAAGCTGTCCCCGAAGCTCGCCTACCTCCGATGATGTTCGGATCCATCTTCTTTGCGGGTGGTATGTACGTTTCGGAGCCTGTTCTTCCTATTTCGGATCGTGTTTCGGGTTGCACCTGTTTCGGTAGCAGAAGACTCTTGAAGCACCTCGGAGTCGTCTGTATCCTTATGAGTTTGCTTTGAAGAAATGCTGACTCGTAAATCTCCACAGGTCTCTTCTTTTTCGGATGGACATCTAGTCGATATACCACTTGGGTAGCCCCATGTATTGCTGCCGCCATGATGGGGTTCGGCTTCTTCACTATTTTTCAGAGCGCTCTGGACTATTTGATAGACACTTTCCAGAAATATGCCGCGAGTGCTGTGGCGGCAAACACCTTCCTTCGATCGGTCTTCGCGGCATCGTTCCCACTGTTCGTCAATCCCATGTATCACCATCTCGGCATTCCATGGGTCTCAAGTGTCATCGCCTTCTTTGGGGTACTTCTGATTCCGATACCTTATTTGTTCTTTGTCTTTGGAAAATCTCTTCGAAAGCGCGGTACGTTTGGAGCGACTCCTCATTATTCCGGACGATTTCTACGAGCGAGACTTGTCCCGGGAGCAAAAGAAGCTTTCATTGCCCCTCGAGCCGTCCGTTGCTCGAATTTTTGTTTTGGAGAAGAAATGCTGATCCCAGATTCTTTATAGGCAAATACTCAGCCAACATGGGATGAGACTGGCTGCCTCCAAGTATCATGGACTCCAAATTCCGATGGCGGCTCCGCGACGCCTCTAAACGCAGGTCACATCCCCTGAAGCATCAACAGGAGAGCGACTGAGATGTTGAGAATTAGACCCTTTCTGGACTGCCTGTCTCAACGTTCTGACATCTAACATCTATTTTGAATTGGCGGTCTTAACGCTGGTCTATTTGGCAGGCAACTCGTCAGAAAAACTTCCACCTTGAGGCGTTGGAATTTTGTGTTTTTATATTCCTACGCCGATTTTAGGCTTCATCTCTAAAGAGGGTGTCATTCGCAGATGAAACTTACTCCGGTATGAGCGTTCAACAGCAAACAATCCTCCTGGTCGGTGTGGATTTGTCGATGTTATAAGGGTTCATACCACTTCGACTGTCACTTCTGTTGACACATCGCCTGCCAACAACCTCGCCGTATTGAGACTTGAAGCCTTCGAGGTTCCCCCTATACATGTCTTTTGACCCTTTATTTTAATATGTCAAGCTACGTTCAACGATCTCGAGACCATTAGAAAAGATAACGTGAGTGCTTTGGGACGGACATCTTTAGCAGCGATGATGGCAGTGAGACATCTCCCTTGGTAGAAATGAAACCATTGAATAGTTCCTTGTTGCTCTACTTTCATATCTTTGTCTAGCTCTGCTTTAATCTCAGCACACAACCGCGTGCCGGAAGCCCCTGTTCGTATCTTTTGTTCCAAAGTACAATGCAATTATTGACTTTCTTTGTCGATTGTGGACACAAAAAGAGCATTGGCTGATGTCCTGTAACCTCCCCGGCTCCTCTGGTTTTTCCAGCCTGTATACCTTCCTGGTCTTCCTACACAATAAGCCAATGTTGCAGACGAAGCCATTATCAACCTACCAATCTGACGACTGCAACGCTTGCATCATCTGAAGGGCATCACCACGAAGAACCCCAACCTCGGTCGATGATTAGATCCGAGATGGCAGAGAGCACCATATCAGCAATCAGTACGACCATGGCAGGCCATACCTCTGATCTGGATCCAGCGCGTACTCAGAACGTAGTCTCCACAACATCAGATGTCGATGTTCATCAGGAGAGCGGGACAAATCGTACGAAAGAAATGCCGTTTCAGGCCAGCTTGCAAGACGAGTTAAACCCCGCTATCGCGTTAGAATTTGGACTTGACCTTGATCATCTAGTCGACCACCCCAAATTTGACGATGATCCTGACCATATCGACTGGGACAGTTACTTTCCTTTCGCGGTAAATGACAATGCTGCGAAAGCCTCTCAGGAGCTGAACGACTTCGATGACGAAAATCATGAGGAGAAATCTTTTGAACCCGTGTTCGGTGCACCGGCTGTACAGCCCGAGAGCCATTCTCTGCCAGGCTTTCCATTCAACTTCGATGACGACGCTGCCGCAGAGCAAAATTTGAATGAAATATTGGCTGGATCAGCCACATCAGCCACACAGTCGGAGGACCGTTCTTCGCATATCTCTTCGCCAGGTAATTTCGAGCTTCCAGATAGTCCACCGGGCTTGGACTTTCTTCAGAGTCTGCAGCTAATCGGTAGGGGAATACAACCGGCTATGATTCCTGATGTAGGGTACAATACCCAACAACTACCTCATTCAACAGGTAACAGTGCAATTCAGGATTACAGGGCAAGACGACTTGCTTGGGACGGAGCTTCTAGCGCAAGCCGCGTGGCATTAACAGGAAGCAGTGAGCCGGACCCTGAAAACGAGAGTCGAGCAGTACTGACGAACCCACGCAGACCCCTTAAAGGCTATCAGGAAGGTGCAACCCAAGAGCAGTCTGATAGATCTCCGGTCCAACGAAACAAAAAATACAATGAGAATAGCCTATACACGCCTTTAAACCAAGCGCCAGAAACGTGGAGCATCTTCGAGTATACGAAAGACGGTGAGTTGGACCCGTCCAGGCTTTACTCCGCAGAGGAGATCAATCGCTACTTATTCACTCACGTCCTACATCAAGGTCAGCGCAATCTGAAGGAGAGCCCCCTGAGGCTTAGGGTTCATAAAACTCCAGCCTCATCTGCCAAGAGGTTCCCAAGCGGATTGAAGTGTCGCTTCCAAGGTTGCCCGATGCGTACAATCAATCAAGGTCAGCTACTCATCGTAGTAGACGAGCTTTCCGTACAGTATCCCGACCACGACCCATTTCTGAATGCGGCTTATTATCATCTATACTGCATCGAGCGCTACTGCAATTTCACAGAGATATGCGCGAAGTTGAACGTCTCCGCTAAAGGTCGCGATACACGGAAAGAGAAAGGGAGAAGGAACAGATTTGTTTTTACTCTTAACGAAGAGATAAGGGTAATTGAAGATTTCGTAAGTCAATGTTGCGCGAATGCGAGACGCGGAGTTGGTGGGAATCCGTGGGTTGCACGCTGTCCAGACCAGCAAACGAGTGGCTGCTCTCACTACGATCCACAGAGTCTTCCATATAAGGGAACTTTGGGCCACCAGCTCGCCGTCACAAAATTGCACTACGGGGGACGAGGCCGCATAAATCTTCGGAAAAATAGGGAGGATAGAGCAGGATACGAGGGCGCGAATCTCACCCGGCATCTATTTGACCTCAGCAAGGAGGCTGAGTTGAGAGAATTTTCGAGGAGGCACAGAAACCAGAATCAGCTCAAGCCCAATCCCAAGACTGGAAGGTCTTATCGTGCTGATTTTGTGGACGTGATCGAAGAGGATGAGCAGCCGGATTGTAGTCAATCCGAGCCCAGTCTTCCGCAAACACATCAACCGTCAGCGGTATCTAGTCCACACCAGGCTCATGGGACGAAAAGAAACAGAGACGAACCCGACGATGGTCAGAGTCTCGGTCAGGACATTGTACAGGCGCACAAGAAATCTCGACGCCAGGGTCCTGAGTTAAAGATACCGGAGTGGAACTTGGACCGATCGAGAAGGGTGGGATTTGGAATTGAGGGGGTTGAGGGAACGGTAGATGGTAAGTACCGTAATCAAGACGTCTGCATGGCAGATACGCCAGGAACATCACCTCGTACCACGCTCGCTCCCAAGTCTCGGCGGACGCACTCGCAGCTGCAAACGACGACCACGAGTCCACCTCAAGATGGCCGATCCGCGTCTATCAATGATCAACCGTCGATGAAATCGGAGGATGAAAGCGAGGGAGAGATCGAGCTGAAAGTTCTGGCAGCGCCAAGAAGAACGAGGTCATTGGAGATCGAGGATGTGAAAGACAAAGAGAAAAAGTGTAGGTTCAGGAAGCTCAAGCTTCAGAAGGCGAATAAAGAAAAGAGAGCCAGAGACGAGGGGGATGATGATAAAGATTGGACTGACCGAAGGGAAAAATGGCTGAAGGCATGATACTTGCAGTCTGACCGGACGCGGGTGGGTTGAATCAGGGGATTGCAATGGAAAGCCTCATGCCACTGGAGTTGTCCTTGATTTGGAGCGTGGGTTCGGGCTTTCATTTTCTCTGGTCATATTTCTATACTTTTGGAATATCTTTAGGGCTTCAGGTATTTCAATCTATACATTCAACGTCTCACCATCTCACATAAAAATTGAAAATGTCAAAATGAAGGGACCCTGATACATGTACACCACTCTCATCTTTTGGGTACGATAGGTGAAGACATTCTACCCCCTAAGGCGTCCGAAGGGAGGGAGGATCCTGTTCACGAATAACGCACTATGAAGGTAGAGGTAGCTTGCAAGATACACAGGCATTGAAACACCCTCGACTGCGCAAGCCCGGAGACAGTACCTGGAAGCTGTGCCTTAGACCCCCAGTTCAAAAGTGTGGTGGTAGGGGGGTGGGGCCAGGGATCGTGTCTAAGTACATGTAGGTATCACGTCCCAAGATGAAAAAGATTATTGCCGAATTAGGCGCAGTGCATTAGCGTGAAGCGGGCGCTGCCCTGGGCAACGCACTCCAGGATTATACTAGGGCTAGGGCTAGGTCCGGCACGCCTTATTTGTTTCTCTCCTTCTCCGCGACTTGCATTTCAGTCTACAGTACACAAGGATCCGAACTTGCCAATCGAATCGCATGGATCCAGTCTTCAGGTTCCCAGCCTCCCCTGGTACTCCTCTTTTTCCCGTCTCGCCAGAGCGCGCAAACAGACTACAACTCCCGCAATCGCCATCGCTACCTTCCATCTCCAACATACAGAATGATCCTTTTATCGTACACTCGCGCGGCAACTCAGATGTTCAAGGCAAAGTTGCACAGTTCAACAATTTGAGCAAGGAGGCTGCACAAAGAAGAAAGGATAGTGAGGCTGCCCTTAAACGGGCTGTCTTAGGGCGCGAGGAAGCTGAAAGTGAGACGAGAAGGCTGAGAGAGGAGAACAGGCTATTGAGACAGGATGTGGAAGAAGGGAGAGCGAGAGAAAGGAAGGTCGGCGAGAGGCTGGAGGGTGTGATGGTAGGGTAGACGACCATTACGGAAAGATTCCGCTGATCGAGACAACAGGAGGAGCTACAAGGATCCAAAGAGACGCAGGCCCATGCACAAACAATCTACGAAAAGGAAGTTCGAAGGGCGAGAAAAGAAGCTTTCAAGTCATCCAGCGCACTGGTGAAGCTGCAAGAAGAATTGAAGTCTACCAGAAACAAATACACCTTGATGAGGGAAGAGGTCGATGTGCAGAGACGGAAGGTCAATACAAGAGAGCAAGAGACTTTTGCTGCCCAGCACCAGCTCGTTGAGCTGCAAGAAGAGATGGAGAAGCAGAAGCAGCAGGACAAGATAATTGAGAAGGAGCGGGACACATTGAAGACTAGCCTAATAGATGAGGAGGCCGCTAGGCCAGTAGTTGAGGGAGCTATCGCTCTGCCGCTGTCCACAGATGGAGAGAACTTTGCCTCACCAAGAAAGCGAAGCCGAAGAAGCGAGAGCATGAAGGAGAATGTGGATCCGGAAGCCCCTCGATCACAGGACCAGCTTGAATCAGTGAAGGACCAGCTGAGGATGGAGAAGCGGATGAGGCTTCGAGCAGACGACCAAATCAACTTCATGAAAATGGAATGCCAATTCCAATGCTGCTCCTGCCGCATTGCTCAGAGACAGGGAATCCAATACGTCCACGACGATACTTTGGCTACGCAAATGGTGGAGATAGCATCTAAGATCGCAGGGGAACTTGAAAAGCCTGCACCACAACCAGTCACAGAATCACTTCCAGAACACATTGTTCAACCAATCCCAGCATCAGCACAAGATCAACCACCATCCACACCACCGCGACAACCCTCTTTACAGCGTGAAAATACGGACCAAGATCTTCTCAACTTCTCCCCAACTACAGGTACGTTCTACAAAGTGCCGTCACCAATCAAACCCTCCTTCTCTCCTCCCACCCAAGAGACACCCAAACCCTCTATACAAGCTCCCCAGTCAACACCACAAGCCACCAACCTCCCAAGCCTCCACACATCTCCCATCGAACCAACACCCTCTTTCACCTTCCCCCATACGCCTCGTCCGCTTCCCATCCCTCCACCACGAACCATCAGCTACACCAAAACAGTCACCATACCTCTGAAAGATGACCTACCTTTCACCCCTGCGCCAGCTACGCCAGGAGGAATCAGCAGAGAGGACGCCTTGGAGCAGATTCGACAGAGGAGAGGTAGGGCAAGGAGTATAGCTGCAGGGAATGGGACGCCGAGGAAGAGGATGGTGGACGTTGCAGAGTTGAGAAGGGACATTAGTGCGCCGGGGCGGGTGTGATGATGGATGAGATGGATAAGTAAAGAGAGGGGGAAGAAGAGAATGTGAGGGATCAGACTGCCGAGAAGAAAAAGTGTGAGAATGCCGAGGTGCCATACTGTACATGAAGGAATGTAGGCATTCTGACATGGAAATAAGGAACCGTCAATAAATTGCTTTGAGATTGTAAAGCATGCATTGACAGTGAACATATTCTTGTACCGATAGTCCATCAAGGAATGACTTAAAAATGCTGCGCTATTGCTATCGTTAACCACCCTTGGTTCACGACAACTGTTCACCCATCGTTAAATCTTTACCTCTCCTTCTCCTCCTCATCCTTCCCAAAGATGTCGTCAACCCCTACCTGCTCCCACCTCCCACTGCCACTCCCCACCTCATCCCTCACCCTCCAATATCGCCCATTAGTGACCCAATATTCCTCCCCAGTAACCTCACACCTCCCCTTACTGAACCACTTCGGCACAAATTCCTCTCCCCTAGCCTCTCTCTCCCTCCTCTTAGCCCTCTGCTTCTCTTCTACCCGATTCTTCTCGGTAGCAGCGACGTCGTACTCGCCGTCTTCCATAGCGCGCTGATCGGGGCGAAGACGGGTATCGGTGGGCGGGAGGTAGGGCCGGAGGTTGGGAGGGAGGTTTTGGAATGTTACGACGAAGGGGGTTAGGTTGAATGGGATATTTGGGGGACGCGGGTGGGCTTCCCAGACCAGGAAGGCTTGATTGGAGCCTGGTTCGTGGGACTTGCCAGGTTTGAGCTCTGAATCTTCGAAGCCTGGGGTCAAGCGAGCATAGATCTTGTCGTTCCACCGACCACCGATGCTCCACTTTGTCTTGCCATCCTTGCCTGTCACTTTGCCGTTGACCTGATACGCCGATGATGCTTTCCAGCCCCGAGGCTTAAAATCGAGCGTGCAGACTTCGCCGGTGCTCCAGTTCTTGATTTCCATGGGGCCGTAGTTGTCGACTGTGGGTGAGCCGGTGATGATGCCGATCACGGAGGAGGTAACCTTTTTCCAGGTGTAAAGCTCTTCACCACCAGTTGTAGGGCGGAGTTTGAGGAACCAGGTGCCGAGGGGGTTGATATCAAAGGACTTGCCGTAGAATTTGGACTTGACTGCTGATTCGCCATAGTAGTCCCATTTCGGCGCTTCAGCCCACGCTGCGCCAATGGGTGGATGATGGCTGACTTGTTCGATGAAGAAGCGGTAGCCCTTGTCTGGTCTCACATATTCATAAGTCTCACCGAGCAACGGATTGAAAGGTTTGGCAACACGGCCAATGGTTGATGCATATTCACTCGCGGCGAACGCTGCAACGTAGACCATGCGCTCGGTCGAGTCGGCTCGATCAGCTGCCGTGTCCAATAGATCGGTGTATTCCTGCGAAGATCTAAAGGTCAGCATATCCATTTTCAAGACAATGATCAGGCTCACGAGAAATGTGTAAAAAGGGTAGGATCCCTGGTTCTGCTGCCAAAACGTGGTCTTGCTGCCCATACCGTGGCGGTCATGAAGGATTTCGAAATGAAAGGGAAAGGAAGGGACAGACCATATCTTCTGTCACCCGTTGCAATAAGGAAGTTGGCTCGTTGAAGGACACCGGTAGTGTCATTTTGGTCATGTCTTTTCCAATCATGGATTTGAGAATGCCCTAGCTTCATGTCAGTGGCTCATGAAATGACAGTCTGAAGATGTACCCACCCAGAGAGAGATTTTTGGTCTATTGTCAGCTTCCATCTTGAATCGTTTGCGGATGGGATCTTCGTATCCTTTGAACGAGGCCTTGATATCTGCCAACTTTTTCTCACGCAGATCTCCATCTTCGGAAGTTTTCTGATCTGTTGCATCGTCCTCAGGAAGGGCTAGCGGACTCGACGGTGGCATCACATCTATGACTTCCACCTCCCCCGCATCTACAGCATCGAAAAATTCCTCGTCTTCATCGGAATCTGAATCGGAGAGATTCGTGAGATCTGCAATTGTAGACTTCCTCCTCCCTTGGTCTCTGAAGCCAATCGATTTTGTACGAGGACGAGCAGGGCTTCGTTGGCCGAGTTGAATATTTTCGAGGGTTGCTGAAATTTGACCTTCGTCTTGAGACATGCCTCTGCTTGGCGCAACAGAGTCTGAAGTCCCTTCCAAAGCCTCTTTCAGGGCTCGCTTCGTTCGTTTTCGTTTCTCTTCTGACTCGCCAATGCGGCCCTCAAGCTCTTCCTGCTCCTTTGCGACCCGGGCCTGTGAAGATTACAGGGTCAGCGTTTCACTTCGCATAAAAGACTCCAACCTCAAGGAGCGCGAAGGAGCGAGGTCCCTTAATTCTGCTCCTAAAATGCATTGCGACCCAAGCTGGCTCTACCACGAAGAGTTTGCCTTGATATTTACGTACCATACTATCTTCCCATAGCCTTCGCACATCTGCTTCCCGATCTAACCTGTATTGCCAGTACGCATCCCGGTCACGAGAGATCTTAAGCAGGTCACCAACCAGGCCTTGGAGACTAGCAACTGCAGATTCATAGGTCGAAAGAGCCTGTTTGACCGTAGAATCAGAGATCGAAACGGCGTGATCTTTAGAGCCTTCCGCTTGCAGCGCTGCCGAAACTTGGGCAAGAAGCCTTAGCTGGAGACTGGCTGAGTGGGCAGTGATATTGAACGCGTCCTTGCTAAGAGGTTGGATCTCGTGATCACTCGCGTCATCTCCATATTCTTCCTCGTCGTCCAGGTCACCCGCGATTGTGGTGGTCTGTGCACCCCTTACTGAACGGGCTAGTTCCCTGTCCGCAGCGCCGGGTTCGTACGAATCGTACATTGAGCCCTCTTCATCCCCGTACGTGGACTCTTGGAATGATAATCGTGATGAAGACGCTGTAAGAGGAACACCCACTGCGGTGGCAGGGGCAAGACCTTTGCCGCTAAGCCTAGATGCATCTGTTGTTCCGAGCTCCTTCGATTCATCCGCGAGCTGTGGCAATTGTCCCGCTTTAGCTTGGCGTAGCATCCCTTCCTTTCGTTGTTTCTGCCTCTCAGTCTCTTTAGCTTCGTCTTTGGTCCACTGAATCGCATTATTCAGTGCCCAAAACCACCTCTTGGCTTCCACGACATGGTTTGCTTTGAGATGATACTTAACGGATGATTTTCCCTGTATCTCAAAATTGGTCTTGTCTTTGGGGTCCATATAGAGTTTGGCAATGCGCATGTTGATGGCTCCACGACACGCTGAGCCAGCGTCATCCTGATGCTTATAATAACTTAGCACCCCATCCTCCAAGACGAACCATCTCAACTTATATCCACTTGTGTAATTTGTCCACTTCTTCAAGTAGCCTTTCATCTCTCGAGCGTCCTTCCCGCCAGGCGCGTTATCTGGGGTTTGAGCCGAACCGCTACCTAGGATTGCTTTCTCTTGGATGCCTCTCTGAGCTGCAGCTGCAGCAGGCGACTTTCTTAGGATACTTCGTGTCCTGTCATCTTTTGTGACGTCTTGAGGGAGTTTGCCCCTGCGGTCTCGACGAAAAGGGTCGGCTCCGTGCATTAGCAGCAACTGTATCAGCGTGGTATCCCTTTTGCGCGCGGCTTCATGTAGTAGTGTGCCTCCACTTTCAACAGTACTGGGATCTGTTGCAAGCTCTCCACCATTGACGTCAAGGACAGTCTCAACACGTGAGTCCTGAAGGGTAGCTTGGAGCTGATCATAGTTTTGCTTGCTGACGAGCTTCTGGATGTCTTTGACAGTGGTATCGACGAACAATGAGCGAGAAAGTTGTAACTGCTGAAAGATGTCTGGTGTCTTAGCAAGGTCTAAAGCAGAGCGGCTTTGGTAGTTCAGGAGAGAATCATTGACATCTGCTTGGTCTAGTAGTAGGCGTACAGTGGTAGGCCGTCCAAGCATAGAAGCGAGATGAAGTGGGGTGTTCCCATCACGATCTCGGGCATTGATATCTATGCTAGCTCCTGGCGTAGTCTTGGCAACAGATAATATCTGCTCAACCACAGAGGGATCGGCACACTGGATGGCTAAGTGTAGGATCGTTGTACCATCCAAGGTCCCTGTCCCAGCTGCTGCACCCTTCTCCGCATCCTCGCTGATGGTGGGCATAGTAGATGTTTCGGTGACAGCTTTGGCAATTGCTGCACTGTCTCCACTTCGTAGAATCTCAAACAACTTGAACATTCGGACGGATTGCTGGATCGTAGGGCCAGTGTCTTGTTGTTTAGCAGCAGCGTCTCGAGTCAAAGCAGCGGTGCTGGGACTTGAGATGTCCATACCAGCAACACCGCTCGATGTCTTCGCTTTGTGACGAGAAGATCGAAGGCCTCCAAAGGAGTGGTGGCTTGACGGGGCGCCTATCGTAGGAGAGGGGGGTTCGGAGCCGGCCTCGGAACCTGCAATACTAGACTCGCCGTCGGTGTCGATACTCTTCGATTTGTCTCGGTGAAGCAGCGACTTGGCCAGAGCAGATTTGGAGCGCTTATGGCTGAGTCGAGGTCCGGTCAGTCCAACTTGGCTGCAAAATATGTTGTGCTGGAATGCTGTGAGGGAGGACTTACCCCTCTGCACCTTTGTCGGACATTATTATTGTTGTGTGACCAGCAACAAATTTACCGATCCTTTGATAGGCTGTAGGTTGTAGGTAATAGATTTGATAGGGGGTGTTTATTCAAGGGATGGGGTCAAACCTCTAAAGTACCTTTAAAAAAAAAAAAACATATACCTTAGGTTGGTGGACTCTCGAGTTCCAGGGATCGAGAATCGAAGCTTCTCGGCCGGTACGGGGCGGGGCGGGATGAATGACGGCATTTCCTGGGCGTGGATTGGATCGCTTAGTGAATGAATGAAGCAATCCCACGGAATTTGTAGGGGACGCGGGGACGGATGAAACTGTCTGGGTACCAGCCTCAGCCCTGACCATAGCCCTTTTACATCTGAAAATAAGGGTGGACCTCAACATGAGCTGTGCGCTCTATGAGTTCTAGCCTACAATTGAGATTTCGAACAACCTCTCCCACCAATTCCTCTCCACTCGTAAGTACATCACAAGCAGCATGAAGTCCATCATGATCTTGCCATACCTTCCAACGTCTGAGCTAGAGGGTGATGCCCAAATTGACTCCTCTGACCCATCTCCACCCCTCGCCCTTGCATATGTTTCGCGAAATTCATCGTCTCCACCTCCCACCTGCACACTTCGGAGTCAGCATAACTTTGCAAAAGACTCACCTACTAAGAAATGGGGGGGGGTTTAATGAGCCCAATGCCACCACTGCTCGCGAAACATGTCTTGAGGCTCAAAACAAAGCGTACGTTTGGGTAGGATTTGCTAGTGTGCACTTACTGGTCCAGTCCGATTTCACCATTCATCAGCTCATGCATCTTCTGCGCATCGAATGCAGCTTGGCTCGTGCTGGCAGCTGTATGCGGTCGGAAGCCTGCAACGGCATCTCCGATCAGCAAAAGCTTCCCGTCAAAGAAGGAGTTCCTCGGTGAAATCACATCTGTGATAGCTTGGATAAACGGCTGCTTCGTGTCGCAGACGATCTCTGCAAATTGGGGTGGTAGCACTTTTTTGGCACACTGCCTTTGCTGCTCTAGTACCTCATTCCTCATTTTCCCGATTGGTACTGTGACGTGATGAGTCTTCCCATCAGAGTCCGTCATGACTTCCTTGTATTCTGTCGAGTCTTCCGGATAGTTGCAATACCAGACCCAGTTGATCAGTCGCTCGCCTGGTTCAAGGGTTCCATTCTCTCCTGGTATAACATAGGCTAATATCTGCGTGCCTCGGGAATGGTAGAAAGTAAATTTATCGACAAACGTCCCTTTGGCCGAAGGCGATGCCTTTTGTTCGGGTACTGTTCCTCGCCACGCTACGTAGCCTGCATAATCCCTTTTCACATCTGGTAGTAGGATCTTGCGTAAAGTCGAGCTGGGTCCATCCGCGCCGATGATCAAGTCTGCCGTGGTCTTATCGACCTGGCCCCTTTTGTCTTCGTATTCCAATTCAACCTGCTCACCAACATCTTTGACATTCTTCACCATATGGTCGTACTCGTACGCGCATTGACCATCGGTTTCAAATGGCTCAGGAACCTTGCAATAGCCACTCTCGACACCATCGAAGTTCGCTCTCAGTAGATAATAAAGCAGGTCCCAACTAGTCATCTTCTGAACGGTGTCCTCTTCATGGATTTGGTTTCCCTGCTGATCCAGGTACTGTCGTAGTTTGCTTGTAACGGCAATCGGCCGCCTTGTAGCGTCATACTTGTTGAAGAAGGCCTGTGTATCACCTCCTGCGACTACCCCTGCGCCCTGATTTTGTAATAGTGGGCTAGGGTTGCGCTCGAATATGCGCACAACGTGACCGAGACGCTTAAGTACGATGGCGGCAAAGAGTCCTCCCAACGAGCCTCCGACCTGTCCAAGTAACATTCAGTAATGAAACCGTGGGCACAAGGCAAGCCTCTACTGGGGTAGTAACTTTAATGCAGCAGAGGACTAAAATCGAGAGACATAGAGGCGAAAGTTCTCTAGTGATTCGGACAAAAATTGGAAAAAGAACAAGGACAGGATCCTTAGAAAGGGTGATACCTACAACAATGACCTGCAATGGCTTTGCCATCGTGCCTCACAGCTGCAAAGAAACGGAGTAATTGGGGAGGAGACTAATTCAGAATCGATTTACAGCAACCTACCCTGGTTGGTATGCATCCTGTGTCTAGACAGACCACTGCTTTGAAGATGTCGAGAACACTTTTACGATATTACTGTTCACGACATAATGACATGAGCTTGAGGAAGAGGCCGCGCGGAAGAGGACCATAATGCCCGCGGAGAATCCAGCACGCTAAAGATAGCGACGTCGACTCGAACGAAGGGCGTCATAGTATGCGAACAACAATCACTATATTTCGAACCCTGAAATATAAGACTGGGCGAGCAGTGATAAACATACGTGGATGAAGACACATCAAGATACCCATCCACGCTGGTTCGGGATCCAATGAAAATAGCTGCCCTGACTGGGCCGGGACCCGCAAGTGTAATGAATCATGGTGCTAGGATCGGAGCAGTATTCTATAAAGTGGTGGGAGACTGTATCTGTGAGACTGTATATATGAATGGTGTCAGCAAAAAGGGGGACCTTGGACGAATGGTAACATCTAGCTGGCAATGGACGTGAGTCCCGCGTAGCACAACCGTCTCATTAACCAGGCCTTTGTTGTCTGATCTACTGCTCATGACTAGGATGTCATTTCAAGAACGCTGATTTTGGTCATGTACATCGAGAGCAGCCGCAGAGATTATGTGTGCAGTGACGCGTCGCCGTTCAACATTGCGGAGTCCAACACAACGAGTAATCCACCCTGCGAGCCGACCGAGGAAAGAAAAGACTATGCTACATCAAGACATGAAAGCCGGCCGCGTATCATCCTAGACACTGTCAGCAGATCCCCAGTGCAACCTTCGGTGATCCCAAGTGGTCATGACGTACTGGGAGCAGGCCGCCGTCTATCTTGCTAGCAGACAATGTCATTCAAGTCCAGCCCTTGCACAGCGTCAAGCAACTTCCTCGCCTTAGCTGCGAGACGTGAACCCACAGCGCAAGGCCTATGGTCGCCGAATTTGAAGATCAGCGCCCCGCTGAATTCCAAAATGCCTGCGGGAGCCTCAATCATGCTTTTGACAGTCTTACGGCAGGCGCCGGAGGTTTGTCGAGGATCTTGAAGTTCTGGAAATTGCTGATATAGGCTTCCAAGGTTGAGAGCATCGCATTTTGCCACATTTAAACCACCGACCTTGCAGACGCGTGCCGTATTACTGGCTCGCAACTTGCAGAATTCCTGCCAGTAAAGGTCCAGGACCACGAACATCGTTTCTGCTCTAGACTTGGTGATTCGCTCTGTTCGTAATCAGGGCTCAGAGCTTCGACTTTTCGGAATTCACTCACCTAAGATGGTCGAAGATACGCCTTCGCCTATGTCGAAACCAGTCGTGGTGACGAGCGTGCCTTGCTCAGACATTTCTGAGTTGATGACAAGATGTCGCGTGACCTCGTTGAAGAGATCATCGTACTGGAAGACTATGGACATGAAGAGCCATTCTTCGTATCCTTGCCTCGCATAGCAGTCGAGGTACGGGGTCGCCCAAATCTCTGTCCAAGGCCACAGACATCTCTTCAGATCGTACTTATCACACATTACTGCCACCTGATAGAGCTGCTTGAATGTCATTGTGGCTGGGACATTGTCGCTTTGAAGGTGGATTATTCTGGCTAATGTAGTCATGGCTTCGAAGTTGTCATCTTCGAATGAGACAATTTGAACACCATTATGAGCGAGAGTCATGTCTGTTCCCTCTCTGAACTTCGAATTCGCCCCGAGCATGGCAAGAAAGACCGGGGAGCTGAGCGAGAGAGCTTTGCGGGAAACCAGAAGACTTCCACTATCGAACTGCATGTACAGATCACCTTCAGGATCGATCACGAGCGTTACTGGGCCTGCGCGGGTAGCTTGATGTTCGTCGGCCATATTAGACGGACCATCGGTGCTGTGTTTTCGCTTTAGCATGTTAGGCTTCTTGACGCTTGAAGTTTTTTTGACGAAGATTGGGGCGGTAAATCGAAAATACCCATGTAGCTGTTGGAATATCGCGTGCAGACGATAATGGTGTAACACTTCAGTAAGACTTCGGCGTGAGCTCCTCACTTTCAAGTGAAACCCTTGGGAAGTCGGAGTAGTCATATCACTTTCAAAAACTAGTATGTAGACCACTTAGATTTCTATCCCGCAGCAGGCGACGAACAGGATACCTTACTTAGCATATAACAGAGTGAGGACGATGATGAAGCGCATTGCAACACTGGCATCTTCGCCCCTGTGTTACAAATCTTACAGGACCGTGTCATTCCCCTATCGTCCAGCGCTCCTACATTGCCTCCATACCACCTCCCCTCGAGTCGCCACTCCTCTGCCCATCACTGCCACTGGTCCTCCCCCAGCAGCTCCACAACCCGCAGCATCCCAATATGGCGAAAGAGTCGATCGACGGCGGCGGCAAGCTGAGCTGCTCAAGCGCGGACAAGACATGCGAGCTAGCCATATGAAGCCTGGGACCGCCATCAAAAAGCGATTTTGGAAAGATGTGAGTGTGCAGACGGATGCTGGTATGATTCAATCTCGGTGCCCTTAATTGCACCTGTGTCTCCTCTATCATGTCTACAGAAAATGCTTTGCTGACATGTCTAAATTCCTATAGAGGAAAACTATCTAGTCAACCTCGACACTCGCGCTCTTCGCAATCCTACGACCAAAAAGCCCATGAGCATTCCCCATTCAAAACCGTATCTCGCAACAGCGCTAGCTCTAGAATGGGACCTCCTTGTCTCCGCCCAGCAGGCTACCCGCTCCCACCTCATCCCACTGACCTCAATCAGCGCCCGCGCCCACGTCCTTGGCCTCGAAGATAGAGAGAACCAGCACGCCGCATCTTCTGGGTCAGGAATACGCTACGACATTGTGAATACGCTGCTACGATATCTCGATACTGATACACTACTTTGTTGGGCTCCTGCATCTACCCTAACGAATCCGTCGGATAAGGATGTCAGAGGGGAATCATTGAGAGACCTGCAAGTCCGGACTGCGACCCCGATCCTGTCATATCTTACGCAAAATGTATGGCCCGGTGTTGAGTTGAAACCTACACTTGACAACGGATCTATACTACCCACCTCACAGCCTGCAGCCACGCGCGCAGTCATAAAAGGATGGATGGCCGGTTTGCCAGCATGGGAGCTTGTGGGGCTCGAGAGAGCGGCATTAGCTGGCAAGAGTTTGTGCGTTGCAGCTCGATTGGTCTGCGAATGGAGCGAATATCTGAAGCTAGGAGACATGCAAGGAGAGGCAGCGGAAAGATTCGGCATCGAAGAGGCCGCCAAGGCGTGTAGTCAAGAGGTTATCTGGCAGACCGGGCGGTGGGGAGAGGTGGAAGATAGTCATGATGTGGACAAAGAGGATTTGAGACGACAGTTCGGGAGTGTAATACTGGTTGTGAGTGGGACGGGAAATACGACCCAACCATAGATGGTCTTGTCAACGTTCGAAGCATTGCATGGGCTCTGGTAAAACGAAGATGGTCTAGACTTGTGCGCGAAGAATTCGAGGATGCCATACCAATCCAGCGACAGCGCCCCGTAGGGCAACGTATTTCAGGCGGGCACGTCCATCTTTCGTGGACAACAACGTCCAAAGTTGCCGAGCTTCCACGGCTGCCTTTGCATAAAATGAAGGTTTCTGCTGGCAGACAAAATCCTCTCCGATCAAGCCGCTGTACCCTCCAATTTGAAAGATGGCACGCATTGTACTGGGCCATTTCCTCGACGGCTTTCTAAGGTTTGGCCGAGTGTTCTGTCGCTAGAAACAAGAGACTGGCTTTCGAACAATAGAAAGAGATGAAAGCTATCATTTATGATTGCATTTGCTACAATGATGGATCATACATCATTACGGCTAGCTGGAGTCTTCCTCTACAACTCCTGAGTAGGCGCGTTGCCCTCAGCAGCGCCACTACCGTACTCCCTAATGTGCTCCTTGCCCGCCCCCTTATCCGCCTCGAACTCCTTCACCTCAGGGCTGTCCATGTGCTTCATAACCTGATCTGCCTGCCATTTCTTGAAGCTGAAACCCAGACCTTCGTGTGAGTAGTCCTTGTCATTGGCCTGATCCTTGTGGTACTTGACCTGGATAAAGTCACTGTCGATGGTGGATGGGTCGAGAGATAGGGAGACGAGGGCGTTGATGGTGGCGGTTTTGGGGATGATTTTGAATGTCCATGACTATACCAGCGAGTCAGCATGACATTGCCAACAAATGGAGGAGAGGAGGACACCGACCTGCTCATTTCTGAATTGAATCAAACCAGGCTCATTTTTCACAATCTGATACTTCTCGGTCTTGCTATCCTTAAACAGCTTCGGCAGAGCAAACCACTGCCCCGCCATCTTGTACCGATCATTTGCATACACGAACTGATCGTCGTACACGCAATCAGATGTATACCGCTTGACCTTCTGGACGGTAGGCTTGCAGCTGTAGAGGTCGAGAATGTCGTCGACGAGAGCTTGGCGCTCTTTGGAGATGGGAAGGGATTTGGAGGGGTCTGGCGTATAGTCTTCCGAAGGGTGGGTTTGGCGGGGCTCGTAGTTCTCGCCAGGGGCGGAGGCGGGCAGGGAGGCGGATTCCATCTTGCTGTTTGCAGACATTGTGGAGGTGGTGGTGGTGAAGGGTCGCAAATTTGCGCGAGCTTGGTTGAGACAAGGGGTGAGGAGTTTTGAAGTGGGAAAGAAGGTACGCTGATGGATGCGGACGCAGGAGGGGAGCATAGGGTGATGGTCTGACGAAGAGATTCTGAAGTTTTGAATGGATTTATATCAAAATGGAGAGGTGAAATGAAATGCAGGATCACGAGTACGAGAATGAGGCTTTTGCCAAAGTGATGACGAAAGTAAATAATAGTCACTGACGTAGGAGATGGAACATCATGACAGGTCCCTGCAGTGAGAGCATGATTGCATACTAAAGAGTACGCATGTAACATTATGCTTCGTATTCGTAGTCACTGCTACAGTATCAATATTCAATAAATGCTGAGAGACGTGACGTACGAGTACGAGTAAGTTACAGTTAATACGGCCTGGGTCTCACGCCTAGCTTTCGTACATTGATCACGGGGCTCAGGGGCATGATATCTAATAATATTAATATTTTTTTTTTTTTTTTTTTTTTTTTTTTTTTTTTTTTTTTTTTTTTTTTTTTTTTTTTTTTTTTTAGAAGTGTAAATAACATATAAAAAAAAAATAATTTTTTTTTTTTTTTTTTTTTTTTTTTTTTTTTATCTTTTTTTTTTGTTTTTTTTTTTTTTTTTTTTTTTTTTTTTTTTTTTTTTTTTTTTGGGGGGGGGGGGGGGGAAGGGTGGGGGGGGTGGGGTTTTTTTTTATTTTTTTTTTTTTTTGGGGGGTGAGAGGGAAATATTTTTTTTTTAGCCCACCTTTTGGGGGGGGGAAAAAAAAAAATTTTTTTTTGTGGTGTTTTGGGGGGGGGGGTAATTTATTTAAAAAAAAAAATAATTAAAATTTAAAAACATATACTTAACATATGCCTTACCTACCTAATCTCTTAAATCTGTTAGAATTCCAGGTATGTCATGTGTAGAACGGACGGATTGATTCTCCAAAACCTCTCCGAGGCCAGGTCCTAAATACAGTACAAAATCAGGTGGCTGGAAAATATGGTGGCTGGGATACGCGGGGGCTACATTTCAACAAAATCCCCTTATTTCGAAACCTACCTTTGTTAACAACTCAGCTAAAAAAGCCTGGTTTCGGGGGTGTTTACGCTTGATAATAATAGCTAGACACCCCTATTGGACCTAAATAAGACCCGCGTGAGGGCTGCTGCTAATAACCTTATTCCGCGTTTACTTTAAATCATAGCATATGCCTAGTATATGCCTTGACCCCCTAAAGTGCCGATATTATTTTCGACCCGGCCCGAGTTCATCCGGGGTGAAACGGATACGTTCAGCATATGCTATGAGTTCATGTGGGGTGAAGTGAGCATATGCTGAAGCTTCACCCCTGCCGAACTTTTTTCACCCCTGCCGAGCTGTAACCCGGACTCGTGCTGTCCAGGAGTGAGTTACCTCGCTTAATAGCGCCGGGAGAGTTGACCAATCAAACTACTCAGTTCTCCGCGAAAATCGTAGTTTGATTGATTAACTCTCCCGGCGCTATTAAGCGAGGTAACTCACTTCTAGATAGTACGAGTATAGTTATAGAGTATTCTACTTAATACTACTATTAGCTATTATTTCTACTATTAATAACTATATCTCGCTTATTTAATAAGAAGATATAGAGACGTAAGATATTTAATCTCTTTCTTATTAGCCTTAGAAGATATAATAGAAGATATTCTAAAATAAGAAAATAGCTAGTAGTTTATAAGGCCTTTATAAAGAAACGCTATATGAAATTAAGAACTCTTATATCTAAATTCGACTAAGCGAGTAATATTCTTTTTTAATACTCTTATTATTCTACTATAACTTCTATATTCTACTATATCTATTTAATTACGAGAGCGCGAGATCTCTTCGATTAATTAAACTAAGAGATACTAGTAATACCTTCGAAGATAGATCTAGAGAGCTTTTTTCGCGTTATTAAGAAGGCTAGAAGATATTAAGAAGAGTAGAAGATATTAAGAAGAATATAAATATATAAAGAATCGTAATAGTAGTAATAATATTATTAATAAGTAGTAATAGTAATAGAATAATCTTATTTAACTACTAGATCTATAGAATCTAATTAAAAACTACGACTAAAAAAACTATTAAATTAAAAAAAGGTACTTCGAAGTCTTATTATTTTTAGACGTAATACTTTTAAATTTTTAGACTTTTAGTAATCTACTATCGAAATGTAATAATAAATTATTAAAAGTCTAAAAATCTAAAAGTATTACGCGGAAAAAAAGTAGTCTAAAACTCTCTAATATTAATTTAAGTATATATATAATATAAATCTAATATATAATAAGATATATAAAGTTACGTAAAGATTAAAGATTAAAAGATTATAAGAATTAAAGTATAGTTACTCGTATATATTCGAAAGTATCTAATATTTAATAATATTAAATAAAATTCGATAAGTTCGACGTAATATTAAAATAAAACTATTATTTTTAATTTTACTATATATCTATTTAAATAAGATATTATACTTTATTAAGACTCTATAATATAATAGAATATTATAAAGAATAATTTACTTATTTATAACTAGTTATTAATTTCGTTAATAAATAAATTTAATTTTTTTTAATTATTTAAAAATTATAGAATTAATTAATTATAAATTAATTTATTTAAATTAATATATATAGTAGAATAAGATAGAGCTAAGCTTGAAAATCTTAAATTTATATATATAGTTAATTATTAATTTATTAGATTTACGCTCTTTAATTAGATCGACTAACTTATCGCGGATAAATAAATTAGCGTTCGCAATTATTAAAAATCTCTTTCTCTACTTTTAACCCTTTAATAACTTTACTATTTTCTATGAAAATTTTAAGATTATTTTTTTAAATTATAAAGCGTAGATTGCGCTTTTGAACGTATTAAGAATTTCGAAATTTGATCTTATAATTATCAAAAGGCAAGGTATTCAAATATCGCTCACCAAAGATCACATCAAAGACCGCTCACTAAAGATCGCTTATTAAAGACTACTTACCACTTTACTCGATAGCCCTAATTAAAAAAAAACGATTACGAATTTAATTTATAGATCTTTACTCGTTCTTATATAATAAATACTAGTTTCTCTAAATTATTTATAATCTAATAAGTTTAGATTTATAAATTAAATTTATAATCTATTTTTTTAATTAGAACTATTATTAAGAAATAGTTTTTAATATTATATAATATTAATATAGTATAGAGTTATTTTATTAATCTATATAGTTTATAGATATATATATATAAAGAGAGACGCGTTAAGATTTAATTAGAAAGATATATCGAATATAGAGAATTAATTTATAATAATTATTTATAAATAATAGAGAAAGGCTATATTCTTATAGTAAGAAGTATTAAAATATTAAAAAGAAATAGAGATAACGTATTAATTAATAATATAAATTCTATAATATCTTTTATCGTAGTAAAATCTTTCGAATAATAAAATAGCTATAGACATCGAACGATTTTAATTCGTTTAAATATATATTATTTAATATTTCTTCTATAGAGACTTAATTAGCTATAATTATTATAGTAAATTCTTTTCTTATAATATTATTATAGTAATATATTATATTAATATAATAAGAATAATAGACTAAATTATAATAATATTCTTCGCTTATTAAATAATAATTTAATATAGAATTATAGAGAGTATATAATATAAGATCTTAAAGAGCTAAGTCGTATTCTTAACGATAATAATCTTATTATTACTTAATTTCTCTATAGTATTCTTTATAGTATTCTTCGTAATATTCTTTATATTTATCTATTATAATTTCTTATCTTACTTCTTCTTTTATAGAGTATTAAATTAAGTAACTAGCTAAGTAATTAATTAAGTAAATTAGCTATTAAACTCGCTTACGACCTCGATTATTAATAATAATAAAATTATTAAAAAGCGATTTAGAAGCGTTAATAGAGACTTTAAAAGAGAGATAAAAGAAATATATATATCTAAAGCGTTTAGTAATATTTTCGCGAGGGGTATCGAGGATAATTATATTTATATTAGTAAAATTAATAGAAT